AATTCTAATAAATGAAAATTCGAACAAATGTAAATTCTGAAAAATCAAAATTCGAACAAATAAATATTCTGACAAATGAAAATTCGTACAAATAGAAATTTTGAAAAATGAAAATTCGAACAAATAAAAATTCTAATAAATGAAAATTCGAACAAATGTAAATTCTGAAAAATCAAAATTCGAACAAATAAATATTCTGACAAATGAAAATTCGTACAAATAGAAATTTTGAAAAATGAAAATTCGAACAAATAAAAATTCTAATAAATGAAAATTCGAACAAATGTAAATTCTGAAAAATCAAAATTCGAACAAATAAATATTCTGACAAATGAAAATTCGTACAAATAGAAATTTTGAAAAATGAAAATTCGAACAAATAAAAATTCTAATAAATGAAAATTCGAACAAATGTAAATTCTGAAAAATCAAAATTCGAACAAATAAATATTCTGACAAATGAAAATTCGTACAAATAGAAATTTTGAAAAATGAAAATTCGAACAAATAAAAATTCTAATAAATGAAAATTCGAACAAATGTAAATTCTGAAAAATCAAAATTCGAACAAATAAAAATTCTGTGATGTGAATTTTTGGTTATATAAAAATTTTGTAATATAGAAAATCGGTTTAATAGAAATTTTTTCAAAAAATAATTTCGAAATTCCATATAAAAATTCTAATAAAAAAAAATAATTCATTCAATAGTGCAAAATTATTTTTTTCGTCTACAATTTTTTTTTTCAATTTCTACAGTAATGAAAAACAAAAAAAAGTACATTAAATATTTAATAAATTATTAATTCAATTTTGTAAAACGAATATTTTTTAATTAAAGAAATTAAAAAAATAGTAAAAAAAAATTTTTTCGTTCATTTAAACGTTTGGCTTTTCAGGCATATAAAATTTTTAATAATAAAATCTGTAATAATTGTGGAAAATTTTTTTTTTCTAAATTCGATTTTTGAATAAAATGAATATGCATAATTAATATTTATTAAATTATAAAAAAAAAGTTTTTCTTTTTTTGTGAATTTACAATCATTTTTTTTTTTTAATAAGTTGCTTTTATCGCTCAATGTCCTATCAAGAAATAAATTTTATCATTTCAGAAATTTGATAAGAAAGTAACATTATAATCTTGGATAATAAACAATACTGAAAGAAAGAGAAAGAAAGTATGAGCTTTTGTTTTCTTTTGATGCAATTTTAATTTAACAGAATTTTTATCTAAACTAATTTCTATTTGACAGCAATATTGTCGTAATCTTGATAAAAATAAATAATATTCAAAACCAATTTACAGTCAGAGTTATCAAATATATAAATTCTCTATATTATAGAATTTTTATAAAAACCAAAAATATTCACTTTACAGAATTTCTGTTTGTTCGAATTTTTATTTGTTCAAATTTTTATTTGTTTGAATTTTCATTTTTCAAAATTTATAAATTTGTTCTAATTTTCATTTATTAGAATTTTTATTTGTTCGAATTTTCGTTTTTCAAAATTTATATTTGTTGGAATTATTTTTTTGGCATAATTTTCATTAAAACGATTTTCTGTATTAAAGATGAATTTTTATATAACCGAAAATTCGCTTCACAGAATGTCGATTTGTTTCAATTTTCATTTTGTCAGATTTTTTATTTGTTCCAATTTTCATTTTTCAAAATTTCTATATTTGTTCGAATTTTCATTTGTCTAAATTTTTATTTTCGAATTTTCATTAAAAACAATATATATTGTCGATTTAAAGAATTTTTATTTTACTGAAAAAATATTAAAATTTTTTTTTTCTAGCTGAATTTTCATTTGTTATAGAATTTAAATTCTAGAGAATTCTTAAAACGTCGAATTTTTATTTTACTGAATTTTCCTTTTTATTCGAATAAATATTGGGCAGAAAAATTTGCGCGCGAAATTAAAAAAATTAATTTCATAATTTCGTTGAATAATGAATTTTATTAAATAGAAAAATTATGTTAAATTGTGAATTTAAATAATTAAAATTATTATCAAGTGAATATTTGAATATTCATTAAAAGTATACAATTTTGTTAAAGTAAAAATTATTTTTTATAAAAATTTTACTAGACATAATTTCTGCTAAATGAAAATTGTATATTTGAAAATGCATTTTTGAAAATATATGCTTTATATAAATTAAATAAAAATTATTTTTTACGAAAATTTTGCCGGACATAAAAAAAAAAATTCAACGCATTATAAAATTTGTTTTATAAAATTAAAATAATATCAGAATTTAGTTAAATAGAAATTTTTTTTAGTAAATTAGAATTTAATTAAAAAAATAAAAATGAAAATTCGATTCATTATAAAAACGAATTTATAACAATTTTCTAAAAAAAATTTGATCATTTTTAATTCGACATCACAAAAATTAAGAGAGGCAAATTATTATTTTTATCAAAAAAAAAAAAAATATTTTTTTTATAATTTTTTCATCAAATAAAAATTTGTAAGAATTCATAGAATTTTTCATTGAAAAAAATATTTCTTTAAAAATTGTTGATTATAAACAAATTTTCTAGAACGTTCTAATAATGTTTTTGAAATTTTTCAATTTCAAAAGAATTCACAAAATTTTCTAGTCTATAAAGTTTTAGAAATTTTTTTTTATGTAAATTAATTTTTTTATATAATTATAAATTCAGTTAAATAGAAATTATTTTATTATAATTTTATTTAAATCGGAAAATGATTTAATTACATTTTACAATTTTTTTTTTTTTTTTTTTTTTTTGTTAGACTAGTTTTCTTTTGCATCATAACAATGTTTTTTTCCTTTTTTTGCAAACATTAAAATGAATATGTGAGAATGCAAATAAAATATTAATGAATAAACAAGAAGTTAATATCGAATGCGGCTCGCAACGATTCACTGACCTTGAACCTAAGATATATCGTGCAAGGTTGAACAACCTTTGTGATTTTATAAATCCTCGTACTTTACCTATACTCTATATATATATTCATTCGCAACGATACTTTTGTTGTTGATTTATGATTAATTGCACTGTCAGATTAACTTAAGTTCAATGACATTGGCTCATATCTCTCTCTCTCTCTCTCTTTCTCTCTTTTAAGACTACAACAATCACTTTTAAATTACGCACGTACTGGAAAATTCAATATTCCAACTTTTTATTTATTTACTTTCTTCTAAAGCAGCTAATACATTGACAATTTATTATTACGTTTTTTCTTTATCATTTCTTTTTTTATTGATTTTTCTCCAACAACTAATTTTATATCTCTTATTATTCTATCATTATTATCTTAAAAAAGAACTAAATTTTTAAACCAAAAAAAAAAAAATGGGCCCAATTAGGCCCACAGTAAAAAAAAAAATATTTTTTAAAATGTGACAACTAATTTTTTCAGTATCAAATTTTTAATCCTTCTAAAATTCTACATATATGATCAATATGACCAAAATATTGGGCCTTATCTCTAGTATTGGGCCTGAACTTTTTCTATACAATTAAATAAATTTGTGGAAAAAAAAAATTCTACTTTAGGTATTTTAGAGGTCATTATATTAAAAAAAAACAATTTTCAAAAATTGGTGCCTGGGCCCAATGTAAGGCCCCAGAGTAAAATAAATTATTTTTTTTTCTATGACGCTCCTTATTTTCAGTATGAAATTTATAATGCCGATTAAAATTCTATACATTCAGATAATTAAAACGTTCAAAATATTGGGCCTTATTTAAGGTATTGGGCCTGAATTTTTTCCACTATTAAGTAAATTTTCGAAAAAAAAAACTACTAGAGTTTGGACGTCACAGATTATGATTTCGAAATTAATTTTTAAATTATGCCATGGGCCCAATGTAAGGCCCCATAATAAAAAAGTATTTTTTTTTTAAATGAGGCTCTTTATTTTCGCAGTATAAAATTTGTAATCCCGCTAAAATTCTACGTTCAGATATTATGTAAAATACATGTATCCGAAATATTGGGCCTTATTCCAAATATTGGGTCCGAATTTATTTTACAATTTATTAAATTCGGAAAAAATCACTACTTGGCTGGTTTTTGTGGTCATTGAGATTACGATTTCATAAATCAATTTTCAAATTGGGCCTGAGCCCAATGTAAGGCCCCCAAAATAAAAAAAAAATTATTTTTAAAAATGAGGCTCTTTATTCTTAGTATCAAATTTGTAATCCCTTTATAATTATGCGTTCGGACATGTAAAATACATGCGTTCAAAATATTGGGCCTTATCCCAGATATTGGACCCCAAACTTATTCTACAATTAACTAAATACTAACTACTATACTAACTAAATATTGACTACTTGGCTGATTTTGGAGGTCACAGATTACGATTTCAAAGTCAAATTGGACCTGGGCCCAATGTAAGGCCCAACAGGATCTAATTTTTGTTTATTTGCATCACAAAATTGAGATTAGAAGTTTATTGGGATTTCAAATTTGATACTGAAAATAAATGGTCCAATTTAAAACAAAAAAATATTTTTTTTTTACAGTGGGGCCTTACATTAGGCCCAGGCCCAATTTTTGAAAATTAACTTCAAAATTGTAATCTGTCACCTTTAAAACAAGTAGTGATTTTTGTGAATTTATTTAATTGTAAAAAAAATGTTCGGGCCCAATACCTGAAATAAGGCCCAAAATTTTGAAAATATATTTTACATGCGTGCAGAATTTTAAGGAGATTACAAATTTTTTATTGAAAATTAATAGGCCCATTAAAAAAAATACTTTTTTTTTACTGTAGGACTGTATATTGGGTCTAGGGCCCAATTTTTTGAGTCTGGAAATATAGTTTTCTTCAATCAGAAATTTTTATGATTGTAGAATGTATATTCAACAGCAAAAATATTATTGAATACATAAATATCGACTTTTTTAAAATCAATATTTTAATTATTATTATTATTTTAGCAATATTATTAATTATTAATTATTAATAATTAAATTTCTCTTTTATCATTGTTTCAGGGGAGATGACGAGTAATCTTCTCAAGATGGCAGAAGACACGAGACAACGTACCCTTGGCCCTTTTAGTCCCTCCTTTAATGTCCATGCAATTCTTATGGACAATTTAGAAAAGGTGAACATGAAATAATAATAATATTAATATAACATTATTATAAAAATAAATAAAATTATTTTTAATTCAATTTTTATTCAAATTATTTGAAAAATATTTATTTGGATTAAATATTTTTTATTTTTATCTAAAAAAAAAATATTTAATTCAAATAATTTAACACTTATTTAAATCTAATAAATAATTTCTTTGAAGCAAAATAATAGTTTGTTTTTTTTTCAAATAATTAAATTATTTCACTGAATAATTATTTCAACATTTGATGTAATTAAAAATTATTTGTTAAGAATTTTATTTTACTGATTCAAATAAATTTATATTTACAAGTAAATTATTTATTTGTATCAAATAATTTTTATTTGATTTTAAATAATATTTTTTTCAATATAGAATTTTCATTTAACAAAATTTTAATAGAATAAAAGTTTTTAAAGTTGTGTTCAACTTCAATTTTTAAACAAAATTTATCAAAAATTTTTTTTTATTCAAAAGAATTCTAAGCAGAATTTTCATTTTTAGAGGGAATTTTAAATATAAGTTAAATTTTTAAATAGAAAAATTTTAAATCTTCAAATTTTCATTTGTCCGAAATTAAAAATGACCAAATAAACTAACAAAAAAAAATTTTTTTATCGGAATTTTTAAAATTTACCAATCGGAAATTATCATGAAAATTGTGATAATGTTTCGGTCAAATAAAAATTCGAACAAATGAAGATTCATTGAATTTGAAAATTTTGGCTTTTAAAAATTCAACTTATTTTTTCAAAAATTCGAACTGCCCGTAAAAATTAATTTCTACAACTACAAAGCTTTGTGAAGAATATTAAGAAAAAATGTTGAAAAAAAATGTTTCCCTTCAAAAATGTTTTTGGTTAATTAATAAAGATACAAAATTTCATTTATTAAAATTTTCTCTATGATTAAATTTTAATTTTCAGAATCTTCCTGAAGACGCACATTTAAGAGTAAATGGAAAACTTCACGTTTCATTAACAAGAGTTTATGATGGTAAAAATGTTATTGTTTCTCATTTTACATCTAAAGAAGATTTACTGCAAGTAAGTTTCTTTTTTGTGAATATTACAATTTAATTAATAATATTTTTTTATCATTCAATTATAAATAATATTAGATCAGAATTTCTCAAATGGATCATCTAAAGTTAACAAAATTTAATTTTAAAATTAAAAAATAGTTTTTTTTTAATACCACATTCAAAAATGAAGAAAAACCAATTTTTGTTTTTAAATTTTTCAACTTTAGAATTTTTTATAACTTTAACAAAAAGAAATGTTTTTGGTTAATTAATAAACGTATCCTTGTCTCTTTTAATAAATTTAATAACATAAAATTAAAAAATAATAAAATAAATAAATAAAATAATTATTATATAATAATAAAATGCTTGGTCTGTCCTTCTGTCCTAACTTGAAGTTGGCCTTTTCTGATTTCACGTGTTTTTTTGAATAGTAATCTTATGACGTGTCAAATTTTGACAATTCTTTTTCTCATTTTTGCCAAAGTTGTATAATTGTGTTTCCAAATTTCGGAATAAGTTTCTTTAAAATTCCAAATTCGAAAATTCAATTCACGAAGGTGAAGTACACAACGTTTACCAACGAAAATTTTTTTAAAGTTGTATATTGATTCAAAAATTCTATACAAATACAAAAAATTTATGATGAGAAAAAAGATGCGACAGGAAATTTCGTACAAGATAGTAATTTGAAAAAAATTTATTTTTAAAAATTTATTTTTAAGGTACCAGGGGCCAACTAATACCTATTAAATATTAATTATAAAAACACAGGCCTCGAATCAACTTAAAGACACAAAAAGTCGTTTTAGTCGATTTATATTCCAAAAAAAGTGGATTTGTTTTTTATTTTAACAAAAATATTTTACAGATTTTTAAATAAAAAATTTTTTTTTAATAATAATCCTTTTCGAAGGGTTAAAGTTGAAATTTTTAGAAATAATTAAATTTCAAAAGATATTGTTAATTTTCAAACAATTATTAAATTTTACAGACCTAATTATAATTTATCAAACAATTTTTGGAAAACATTTTTTAAATTTCATTGAATTTTCAAAGATTTAAAATTTAGATTATTGAAATTAATTGAAACTTTTAGTGTTTTGTAATTAAAATTTAAGACGATTTCACTAAAAATTTATTACAAAATGCGGACAAAATACAATAATTCTAAAATCATTTTTAATTGAAAAATGGTTTCAGATAGTTGAATTTTCAAAGAATATTATTAAAATAGTTAAAAATAATTGAATTTCCTTAGAGCTATAATTGAAATTATTAAATTTCAAAAAAAAATTTTTCGATGGAAAATTTTAGAAATAATTAAATTTTTGATGCTTTTAAATTCAAATTATTGAAAATTCAATTAATTTTGAATTCAAATTTTTAAGAATAATGAAATTTTATTTGATTTTAAATTGAAAATTTTTGGGAAATAATTGAATTTTAATTAAAATTTTGAAAATAATTGACTATTAGTTGATTTTAAAACCACAATTTTAAGAAAATAATTGAATTTTAGTTTATTTTGAATTGAATACTTGGAAATAATTGAATTTTAGTTTATTTTGAATTGAATACTTGGAAAATAATTGAATTTTAGTTTATTTTGAATTGAATACTTGGAAAACAATTGAATTTTAGTTGATTTTGAATTGAAATTTATGAAACTAATTAAATTGAAATTGAAAATTTTTAAAACAATTGAATTTTAGTTGATTTAGGATTGAAAATTTGGAAAATAATCAAATTTCAGTTGAAATTTGGAAAATAATTGAATTGTAGTTTATTGTGAATTGAAATTTTTGAAAATAATTTAATTTTAGTTGACTTTGAATTGAAAATTTTGAAAATAATTGAATTTTAGTTTATTTTGAATTGAAATTTTTGAAAATAATTGATTTTCAATTGACATTTTGGAAAATAATTGAATTTTTGTTAATTTTGAATAGAAATTTTAGAAAATAATTGAATTTTATTTTATTTTAAATTGAAAATTTGGTAAATAATTAAATTTTAAATTGAAAATTTTGGATAATTATTGGAATTTTAATTGATTTTGAATTAAAATTTCGGGTAATAATTGAATTTTAGTTTATTTTGAATTGAAAATTTTAAAAAATAATTTAATTTTATTGTGATATTTTTTTGTAAAATTGTAAACAATTGTTAAATTTCATAAAAATTTTAATTGAAAAAATAATTTTGATATAATTGAATGTGTGATGTATTTCATTAAAATTATTAAAAATAATTCATTTAGTGAAGAATCAATTTAGTTCAAAATTTGTTAAATAATTGAATTGAAGAAGATCTGAAGAAGATCTACATTTTATACTAAAAAAATGTATTTTATTTACATTTTTTTCAAATGTAAAATAAATGTCGCATTTTATTAAAATAAGTCGATAAAAGTCGTATTTTTGAAAAAAGTCAAAAAAAGTCGTATAATCCGAGGCCTGTAAACATATAATTTTCATTATTATTTAATATGTAATAATATTCTAATAAATTAAATTTTTATTCATAATATTAATCTTTAATTTCTTTATAACAAACAATTAAATACTCAATTTGGCGCGCTTAATTTTGCTAGTTAAATTAATAAAATAAAAGTAATTAATAAACAATTATTGAAAATTAATTACTTTTTGAAAATTTTAGATGATCCGTTTTAGAGATTCTGAAACCTATTAGAAATTAATACATTTGCTGTTAACAGTTTTTTATTGAAAATAATTTTTGTTTCATCAAATTTTCTTTTTCATCAATTTTCATCAAAAATGCATAAAATTAAATTAAATTCCCATTTTATGGAATATTTTTATTTAACTGAATTTTTATTTAGCATAATTTTAAAATAAAACAATTTTTATTGTTAGTAATTAAAAAAAATGTTATAATAATAATTATTGTTTCGGTGATTTTAATTTTTTTGTTATTCAATATTTGAAATTTATTTTACCAGGCTCTTTTGGCAAGTTCGTTTATTCCATTTTTTTCCGGTATTTTACCACCGAGATTTCATGGCATCAGATACATGGATGGAGGTTTCAGTGATAATCTTCCAACTCTCGATGAAAATACAATAACAATAAGTCCATTTTGCGGGGAAAGCGATATTTGTCCCCGTGATATTTCCTCACAATTATTTCACGTAAGTTATTTTATTTTATTTTTTTTTTATTATTAAGAAAAAATCATCAACAAACAATCGCAAAGAAAAAATGAAAATTAAAAAAAATAATTTTGTAAAAAATTAAATTTATTTTTTTACCTCTCAAAAAAGTGTTCCTTTAGAAATACGAGGAAAATTATATGGAATAATATTTAAGTTTAAATAACTTTGTCAAAAAAAAAAAATTTTTTCTTAATGAAACTTGTGGAGGAAATTTTCAAAAGAATTTTCACAATATGTAAATTTACTATTTACCATTTTAATATAATCAGTACCCCTTGGTGAATATTTATGTGATCTTTATCTATCTTGATGTAAACATTTATTCTTAAGAAGTCAACAACTTTTCGTTGTGAAAGAAATTGATGTAACATTTTAAAATTGCGTAATTTAATGACAAAGTTTTATATATATATATATTTTTTTTTCATTTATTAAAACAACTTAGATGTATGTTAATAACATATTTATAAATAATATAATAATAATAATGATATTATTAATATAATATTATTTATAATTAAAAAATAAATTTAATTTTCTTTAAAAAAATTAATTAATTTAAAATTAATTTTTAAATATTTTTAATTTTTAACTTTGATATATTTGTTTAATTTCAAAATATTCAAAAATATTTGTTGAAAAAGTTATATTTCTTTCTTTTTTTCCATAAAAAAAAAATTTCTGTTATTTATCGGAATTGATTTTATTATATATTTTTTATATTTCAGGTAAATGTTGCAAACACAAGTATCGAATTATCGAGACAAAATATTTATAGGTTCGCTAGAATACTCTTTCCTCCAAATCCCGAGGTAAGAATGAATAAAAATCAAAAAAAGGGTTTATTTGAAACTTGTTTATGTTTGAAATAAATAAATAAATAAAAATTTCGAGACATATTTAGTATACAATTTTGTATGAAATTTGTATTTTTCTTTTTCTTTTTTGTTTTTTAATCAATTTATTTTTTGTTTTCATTTTCAGATTCTGTCAAATATGTGTAAACAAGGATTTGATGATGCTTTGCGTTTTTTGCATAGAAATAATTTAATCAATTGCACACGTTGTTTGGCTGTTCAATCGACTTTTGTTGTTTCGGAAACTTTAGACGATAATATGGAATACGATCCAGAATGCCTCGAGTGTAAAATGCATAGACAGGTAATTTTCTTTTTTTTTTCAAAAAAAAAAAAAAATAAATAAATTTTATTTTTCCATTCTTTTGGGAAAATTTTTCAAAAACCAAAGGATAGAAACAATTTTGAAAATAAGATTTTAATTTATAAATTACAAAAAAAAACTAGTAAATTATTTTTCATTTTTTACATTTAATATTAGAAAAGTTTAGTGAAAAAAAACTTAAAAAAATTCATGAATATTATAAGCATTAAAAAGGAAATTTCGAAATTTTCAAAAATTTCATATCTCGTAATCTTGATTAAAAAAATTCGAAGAAAAAAATCTTGCAATTCTTTTTCAAAGAGTACAAAAAGATAATAAAAAAAAAATTATTTCCGAATCAAAAATATTAAAATGACGTAGATTTCCTCATATAATAAATAAATAAATAAATAAATAATAATCCTAAAGATATTAAAACATTTTATGATTAGAAACTATTTATAATACCAAACACGTAAATTATATTTATAACTTATACGATTTATTTCTTAAGTAGTTTATTGATTTTATTTTGTTGAAAAGATTTAATTTTTTTTTATTCTTTAAAGAAAAACAATTTTTTTCCATCTTAACTTAAAGAAAAGTTGGAATAGTTTAAAAAAATATTAAAGTTATAGAAAATTATATATTATTATTATTATTAATATTATTATTATATTTTCAAAATAAATAAGTAAATAAATAGTAAGAAAAATTTTCTATTAAATTAACAATATTCTTTCTTAAATTTATTTAAATAATAAAATTTTCTAAATACTTTATTAAAATTTATTAAAAATGATTTCATTTAGTGAAAATTTTTTAGATAAGAATTTTTTTAAATAATTGAATTTTGCAATAGATTTATAATTTTTAGAATTAATTGAATATTAAAAGATTTGAAATTGAAATTTTTAGTAAATTTTAATTGCTGATGATAATTATTTTAAACTTTAGAGAATTTTAGAGAATTTTTAATTAAAAATATTTTCAAATAATTTAATTTTTAAAGAAGTTTATTAAAATGATTGAAAATGATTAATTTGTCGAAGAATTTTATTTAAAAACTTTTTAAACAATTAAATGTTAGTAGATGAGTAGTTACATTTTTTTTTTGTCAATAATTAAATTTGCACAAGATTATTATTCAAAATTTTGAAAAGAAAGTTATTTGAATAATTTGAATTACAATTTGGAAAATAATTCAATTATAAAAAGAAAATTTATTTTAAAAATTTTTTTAAAGAATTAAAATTTCGTTAAACGATTTAATTGAAAAATTATTTAACTTTAAAAAGGAATAATTAATTTAAAGAATTTTAAATAATTGAAATTTTGTAAAATTTAAATTCATAGATTCTTTTCAAAATTGAAATTTCGTAAAATTTTATTGAAAATTTGAAAAATTATTTCCAATACAAAGAATTTTAAAGAATAGAAATTTTGTAAAATTTGTTTGAAACTTTGGAAACTTATTGGAATTTTAGAAAGGAATATTTAATTCAAAAGAATTGTAAATAATTGAAATTTTGTAAAATTTGATTAAAAATTTTTTTAAATAATTGCAAATTTTTTTTTTTTTTCTAAGAATTTCGTTAAATTTTTTGAAAATATATAATTGAATTTACGAAGAATTTTAATTGTAAATTATGTAAATAATTTGTATAAACATAAATCTGTTTATGTTGATATAAATAATTTTATAAATTAATAAAATATAAATTAATAATTAATAAATAATTAATTTTTAAATTGCTGTGAACTTTGTAAAATATTTAATTTTTTTTTAATATTAAAATTCTGTTCTTTTTTTATAATTAAAAGAATTAGAGAATTAAGAAAATATATTTTTTTTTGTGATTTGTAATTTAAATGTTTTTTTTTTAATTTCAATGTTTTTATCTTTTTATTTATTTATTTATTTAATTATATATACGTGTCTTTGAAATAAAGAGCCCTTTAAGCCCCCTTTTTCTTAAATTTAATTTTTAATTTTAAAAATTGAATTAATTTTTAATTGATATTAACAGGAGGCATTGGTGGCAAATCTTCCCGATACATTAATGTCAATATTTCAAGATGCAATTGATTCGGCGAACAAGGGACTTGTTAATTGGCTTTTTAAGCACAAAAGTGTAAAACTATTATCGCTTTTGAGTATTCCCTATACTGTACCAGCAGACGTTGTCTATGCAACTTTTACAAAGTAAGCAAAAATTTATCTTTACCATCTAAATATTTTTTTCTATTTTTATTAAGAAAAGTGTATTTTTTACATTTTTTAATTTATTTTATTTGTTTTAAACATTTTATGTTTTTTTCTTCATATTTACATTTATCCTCAGTTAATTAAATTACTAAAAAAAAGAATTTTAAACACATTAAATCAAAGAATAATAATAATAATAATAATAATAATAATAATAATAATAATAAGAAAAAAAAGATGTAAAAATTGTAAACGATTAAGAGATTTTTTTTTGAACTTTGTAATTACTATTACATATAAGGGAAAAAAAGATTCAAAATATGCTTACTCGAGATAATAAAATTCAATATTATAACCATTATGTTGAAGCAAATATAAATTAAGATTATTTGCATTTTTTTTTTTTTTTTTTTTCTTCTTTAAAGAAAAGAATATGTGGTTCTAAAGACATCTGCAAAATCTCTATTGCAACAAAGTGTGTTTTAAGAAAAATTATTATAAACGGAATGTGTTATTTGTATTTGTAATAATTATTCTCGATAATTTTCAGCTGATAAGAAAATTTAATGCTATAATAAAGAAACTTACGTCAATAATAAAGAAAAGGGAAACACATTGAGCAACAGATGCACATGTATATCTCCCGGTTGGAAAAAAAAGAAAAATGTAAAAAAAAATAGGAGAAAGAAAATTGTTAACTAAACTTTAAAGTTATTGCGCATTTTCAAAAAGAAAACCATTTCCTTTATTCTGCTTAAATTGTTTAATTAAGAAATAATTAATAATACAAAAAATAGTAAATAATAATAATAAAATATTAATAAATAATAATAAAAATAATTATAATTATAATAAAAATATATAATAATAAATAATAAAAAATAGTAAAAAATAATAAAAATAATTTTTATTTAATAAATGCTATTATAAATATAAATACAAAATAAAAATAATTAATAATTAATAATTAACATTAGAGATAAAATAATATTGTTGACATTTCTTATTGATAATCTTTTGCAAGATTGTTTCTCTTATTCGATTAACAGCTTTGCCTATCGATAATTAATGCTAAATTTAAATATTAGCAGGCATTGAAGATATTCTTCATGAGAAATTTTGTATTTTCGTTGAGATTCAGTCATATATCTATACATTTTTTAAAAATTATAAATATATTTTTGTGATTGTTTTTCTAATTTTTAAAATTTGAAATTACATTTTTTTTTTATTTATTCTAAAATTAGAAAATTTATATTTTTTATAAACACGTAAAAATATTTCTCATATATATTTTTCAATATATTTTGTAATATTTTTAAATTTTATCATTCAAATTTATTTTAATTTTATTTCTAAAATATATTTTTATTTATTTATGTTAAAAAAAAAAAAAATTCGATATTTTTCAGTATGTTAAAAATCCAAATTTTTGTTTTAATTTATTATCTTTTTGCTTCTTTTAGAGGGATAATTTGAAAATGAAAAAAAAATTGAGGATAAATTTAGACTTTTTTTTTTTAAATGTGTAAAATTTTTTTTCAGATTGGTACAATTATTTTACAGATTCGTGTTGAATGCACCGAAGCTGAGGAATAATCTTATGGAAATAAGCAGGTTTTTATTGGAACAATTGAGTGCTATTTTCCCGAAAATAAATTTCTATTATCAAGCCTCATCGGCGACAATCAAGTGTCAATTAAATATCACGGAATATGGTCCGAGTGAGTTTTTTTTTCTTTAAATTTAAAAATTTTTTCTCTTTCTTAGTCTTTTTTTTAAATTAAGACAATTAAATTTTTTTGTTATTTTTGTTTACGATTTCTTTTTAATTGAAAAAAAAAACAAATAAATAAAGAATATTAAAAATAGTAATATTAAAAAATGCAAATTAAATAAAAATAATTTTAAAAAATACAAATTAAAAATAAAAAAGAATTAATTATTATTTATTAATAAATTAATGAAAATTATAATTAAAAAAAATGTAAATACAACAAAAATTTTCTCTATTTTCAGAATTTTACAGCATTGACGTAACGGATGGAAACGATGAGATTTATAAAAAAACACAAGAAACATTAAATTTGACTCTTCGATATAATAAATCGTGGAAGGATCTCACGCAATCAAAATCAAATTGTATTATTAATATGTCGGATTTATCGCCGATGGATGACACATTTGAAAACACTCTTCAGGTAAAATCACAATTGAATTTTAATAAAAAAAAAAAACAATTTTAAAATAAAAATTCCTTAATTATAAAAAATTTTTTCAAACTAAAATTTGTGTGTTAAATAAAAAATTTATTCTATTCTATAAAAATTTGTTAAATTTAAATTCAGTTTAAACGAAAATTCGGCAAAATTTGAAAAATTTTCTAATATATTATTTTTTGGCAATAATTAAAATTCGATTTGTTATAAATTTTTTTTTTTTAATTATACTAAACTTTTTTTAGTTTCATTATAATAAATTAAAAGAAAATTTGAATTAAAAATTTTTTTGACAAAATTAAATATGTATAAAAGATTTTAAAAAATTTGCATTCACACTGATAAAAAATTTAGACCAATAAAAAATTACGATTGAAATTTTGATCGAATTAAAATTTGGATTAATTTGTAATTGAAATCAATTAAAATTGAAATAAATTAAAAATTTACATTAGGCAAATTTAAGATTGTTTAAAAGTATTGAATAAATTAAAATTAAGATCAGCAAAATTTAAGATTGTTTAAAAGTATTAAGTAAAAATTAAAATTTACATCAATCAAATTTAAGATTCTTTAAAAGTATTTAATATATTAAAATTTAGTTCCACTAAAATTTGGATGAAGTGAATTAAATTTAAAATTTAGAATTTTGATGAAATTAAATTTTAAATCAATGAAAATCAATTTTTTTAAATTTAATTTTTTACGAATTATTGAAATTTGGAACGACTGAATTTGAGATTAATTAAAATTATAGAGAATTAAAGTTTAGATATTTCTAAAATTTAAATCAATGAATTTTAGAGTTGATTAAAAATTTAATCAATAAATATTTTGTTTAATTACATTTGTGATTTTTTGAAATTTGTATCGATTGAATTTGAGGTTATTTAAAATTTGAAATAATTGAACATTTCCAAAATTTAATTGAAATAGAATTAGAGGAAATTAAAATTCAGATACGCTAAAAATTTGAAGGTTCATTAAAATTGTTATCAATGAATATATTAATTTAATAGATTTAAAAATAAATTTAAATAGATTTAAAAATTTTTTTAAAAAATAAATAAATAAATTTAAGGTTATTTAAAATTATAATGAATTAAAATTAAAATTTGGTTAAATTAAAAAGAATCGAAATTAAAATTATTGAAACAGTGAATATTTTTTGGAAAAATTAAAAAATTAATAGTTATTTAAATTTAGATCACCAAATCTTCAATTCAGAATTAGAGTAAATTGATATTTAGATTTGTTAAAAATTTCTAATTTTTAAAATTTTAATGTAGATTAAAATTTTAACCAACGAATATTTTGATAAATTAATAAGAATAAGAGTTATTTAAAATTCAGATCGTTTAAAATTGGAATGAATGAATTTTACAGTTGATTAAAATTTTAATAAATAAATATATTTTGTTTAATTAAATTTGTGATTTATTGAACTTTGTATCGAATGAATTAAATTAATTTAATCTAAAAGTAGAATGAACTAAAATTCAGATTGTTCAAAATTGGGAAGAATTAAATTTTTTGAATTGTGATTAAAATTAAAATTCTGTTTTTTGTTGGAAATTTTGAGATTTATCTACTAAAAAAAAAATAATTAAACTACGCAAGAAATATAATCAGTTACATTTAATTATATTGCATAATAAGGGGCATAATGAAATATTCTTGGAAGTTTTTTTTTTATTTTTCTTTTTGAAAAAAAAATCATATTGATTTTGTAGGCAACGTCGGATCAAGAAGCGCTGATGGCATATTATTACATGGACGATGATAATAAAGTTCGTGTCACAGAAATATTCGATGTCACGGACGTCGATAAACTCTCGCTAGCGGAAATGGAAGTTGACTCGGATCTACAATTTGACGAATGGGATGAGCCCACGTGGATGGGACAGCACACTTTAACTGACGGTAAATATAATTAAACAAATTTTTTTTTTCTAATAATATTTTCCAAAATTTCCAATTTCGTCGAATCTTCATTTGTCCGAATTTTTTATTTGATAAAATTCTCAAAAAAAGACGAATTTCCATTTGTCCGAATTTTTATTTGATAGAATTCTTAAAAAGGCCGAATTTCCATTTGTCCGAATTTTTATTTGATAGAATTCTTAAAAAAAAGCCGAATTTCGATTTGTCCGAAAAAAAACAATTGACAGAAAGATTTCGGCGCGAATTTTAAAATTAACCATAGACAATTTTTATTTTATTTTACAACGTAAACGGGCCTAGAAAAATTTAAAAATTCCCTTTTGTAATATTAATATTATCAATATCAATTTTATTGATAATTTTTAAATTCGCGCCGAAATCATTCTGTCAATTGTTTTTTTTTCGGAAATTTTCAGTTTCGGACATATCGAAATTCGGCCTTTTAAGAAATTCTATTCAATAAAAATTCAGACCTAATATAAAATTTGGTGAATTGAAAATTTTGTCATTTAAAAATTCAAATCACTTAAAATTTCTGTCGCCAGATTAATATTCGGTTAAATTTGAATTTTTTTTTTTTTTTTTTTGAAATAAAAAGTTGAATAAAGAGAAATTCTGTATAATTCAAAAAAAAAAAAAATTCAAAAAAAATATCTGTTATTAGAATAAATAAAAAAAATTTATTAAGTAAAAATTTGTGTCAATTTAAAAAATAATAATTTGTCTAAAAAGTAATTAGGTTTTAATTTAAAAAAAAAAATTTTCTTGGATGTTATTTTTAATCAAAAAATAAAATTTATTTATTCATTAAAATGATAAATAATTCCTAATTAATTAATTTTTAACTTTGGGTGGGAAAATTTCAAATTTTTTAATTAATAATTAATTTAATAGTCATAAATATTTTTTTGAAATATTCTTAATTTTGGCAACAGCAAAAAAAATAATAAAAATTACGAAAATAATAATAATAATAAAAATAATAATTAAATACAATATTAAAAAAAAATTAATTTACGTTGACAAAAAAATGAATTTAACTAGAACATTGACGATAATTTTCTTCTTTTTTTTTGAATTTTTCTACAACTAAACAAATATTTTTCAATTTTTTACAGTTGTGTGCGAATTTCCTTACGAGGATAATAATCGTCGCAGCTCACAAGATTCAACGGACATTTCACTTGAAGAGGATGTAATTGATGGTTCTAATATTTTCTCCGATCCTGAAAGTGAATGGGGCATTGAAAAAAATCAGGACCAAACAATATTTCACTCTTTAAATCCCTCATCGGACAGTCGACCAGAAGTTGATCAACCATCTCTTCCTAATTCTTAGATTTAACTTATTTAAAAAAAAAAAAAAATTACAATGACCAGAAAAAAAAATAAAGTGAATTTAGTTAAATTTTAGTAATGAGTGAAGAAAAGAGCGCAATATTCGCGAATTTAAAAATTGTTTACTAAAAAAATAAGTAAATAATTTTATTTTATAAGAAAAAAAAAAATTCGCGTATCTTGCCATTAATAATAGAAAAAGAGAAAAAGAACTATTTTTTTAGCACTGAAACAAAAGTCTCGAGAGTTGTTAATGAATAAGATGCAATAATTGTATTTTTTTTTCATATCAGAAATAATTCGTTAGAATCCCGAAAATTTTTTTTTGTTGTTTTTTTAGTGATATTATTTTTCTGCGACAATTGATATCTTAATAAGAAAACAAGAAAATATTATAAATGATAATGGGATAATGAACGAATTTTGAAATTGACATATTTTTTTTATACAGTTTTATATAATAGTTAAGAGAGAGAAAAAAAGGTATTTAGCTGGGTCTAAATACTTTTTTTTTTTAAAAAAAAATATTAATTGTTTCTCGAGTGATATTTATTTATGAGACTCAGTCTTTATTAAATTATTCAACGTTTTTATTTTTAATATTATTATTATTATTTAAAATACTAGTCTAGAAAAATCGACACAATTTTAAATTTATTAAAAAAAATTTCGTTAAAATTCTTTATTTTTATAAATATTTCGTTTTCGCTTTTTTGTTGAATCTTGGCAAAAATTCTGCTGACAATGAAGAAATTCGTTAAAAATTATTTTTTATTGAAAAACAAAAAATGATTATTAAATTACAAGAAAGAAATATTAAAAATTTGAGTTTCTTCGTTTTGCAGATTTAGAAAAAAAAAAAAACAAGATTCTTCAGTATTGTGGAACGATTCGTGTGGTGGTAAAATTTTTATCATTCCACTTACAGTTACAATGGATCATTGTTAGAAGAGAATTGAGGCGGTTTGTCGTTGTCGTCTTATCTCTTTGACATGTGGTTAATACTAGATACCGCGCTATCGAAACTCAATAATAAACAAGAAGGATCTATAATTTTTTTTAAAATTCTTTCTTCTTCCAACGATTGAGTTCCATTATTATCGATAGGAAAACAAAGAGAATAAGACTTTTTTATTTATTTATTGCAATTAACATTAAACATTTAAGTTTGGAGCGAGATTTCGATGTATATCGTCGATAAATAAAATAAATTAATATATATATAAATTTTATATCATCTCTGTACAAAAACGAAAAAAAAAATTCTTTTATCCTGTGTATATGTATATATCTATAATATATATTAAATAGTTTTAAACACTAATTTTTTTTTCTAACATTTTCAATATATAAAATTTCTTGCAAAAATTTAATTATTTCTAAAAATTTCAATTCTAAGTTTATAAATCTTCCGAAATTTAATTATTTAAAAAAAAAAAAAATTATATCTTCCCGTGTGGAAAAGTGATGTGGGCCTCTCATGGAAACGACATGCTCATCGATGAGGGCGCCCCTATGAGCACCCTAATGGGCCCTCACGTTTGCCCTCATCTTGCCGTCAAGTTTGCCTTAATGTTTTTTAATCAACAATATATTAATAATAAAAGTTAATTAATAATAAATAAGCTTATATTATGAATAAATAACATATTTATTTAATAATTATTCAATTTTAAATTAAATTCTTAAATTGAATTTATTAATTAACGTTCTAATTAATTAACTGTCGGATATAGATTAAAAGTAATAATAAATTAATTAATTAAAAAAACATGTTATAATCGGATATTTTCATTTTTCAACTAATTTATACATAGAATTAATATGATTAAACGCAAACCTCGCTACGGAAATGGCCTTGAACATATGTCGGATATGACTATCAGCGCTGTGGCGAAATTAGGCAATTTTCGTTGGACAACGATAATGACAGATCAATAGTAATAAATGTAAATAATATGAATGTTATAATAACAACGGGGTTTGCTGCAATAAACCATGAAATTGAATTTCGCCCAGAAACAATTAAAAAAGGGAAGGCTTTTTAGCGATGATTCACATGGAAGAATTTAGAGTTAATGGAATCAGTGAAGCAATTAAAGCAAGTGTGATTCGTCAAACGTCTGTCAATTCTCCTCCTTATTCAGTTAATTTAATGCTAGTTTTTTTATTTTAAAATATATATATATATATTGATTTTTAAAATTCCATTTACACATATGAACCAAAATAATTTATTTAAACAAATAATTAAAGAGAATGTAGGATATAACATAACCTCAAAATTAAAAAATAATTTTTAATGCAAACAAAAACTAAAAATAACCTATTTTTAAAGATTTAGTTATAAAAATTTCGCATAAAATTATGTTAATAAGTAATTATTTTTTAACATTTGCCATTTTTTCAGAATAAACAAAAATCGAATTTTTTATCTATATTTTTTATAAAGGATTAGTTTAAATTTAGAGAAACTTTCTTTATAATCGAAATATTTTTTTAATTGTTAAAAAATTGTAAACAATTCAAATTTTATTTCATAATTAATTTTTTTACAACATATTTTTAACACTTTAAAAAAATTACGATTGAAGAGAATTGTGTTTCACATAAATAACAAAAACTTTTGGTTCTAAAGTTTGATAAACACTGCAATTTTTTCAGTTCAGAAAAATGTTCAAATTTGTAAAAAAATAATTATTTAGTAAAAGATTTTCATTGAAAATAATTTTTTCCAAAAAGTGCATATAACTAGATCTTTCAAAATTACTTTCAATTAATTTTAAATAATTTTTTGTTTATGTTAATAGCCATTTTCACCACCCTCCATAAAAAATGCAACCTAAAATATTTTTTCCAGCTTGACTCAAATCGAAAAGTTACTTATGTTTCATGTACATCCTAATATAGTTTATAAATTTGGTCGACGTAGTATATCACAAATAGATTTAATCGTCAGAAACAATTAAATGTCATTTTTTTCTAATGTAAACATTTGACAACAAGTATCCAACGAAAAATGCGCCACATTGCCACTAGAGGCGGCACCGTGTTAAATGTTGTACTTTCATTTATGCACAAGAAATTGAAAATTCATTACGATAAACGACGTCAGGAAGTAAAATAAGAAATTTTTTTCTAACCGTCAGGTGCTGTCCAAGACGGTAAATTTCAGTACTACGAAAATATTTAAATACTCTTCCTATTTTACTTCCTGTCGTTTTATATGTGAATAAATTTTTAATTTCTTGGAGGCAAATGAAAGTACACAAATTCAGGATAACTGGTATTTTTTCCGATTTTCACATTTTCTTTCCGAATTGGGAGAATAATATTTTTCAAATTAAATGTACCTTATTTTTAAGACAACCACTGCTTATGCCATTGCGGAACACCGTTAATCTGAATGACACCCAGAAGAGAGGGCGCTGTTTAGCGACGCTTTCGGGCTTGACTTGTCAGCCATTTTACTCTCATTCTCATCCTGGTATCAGTTCAGAGTGGTTGTGTTTTTCCCCATTCTTTCTTTTCGTTCAAAAACTAAATTTAAAAATGTAAAAATTAATAAATTGTGCGACTAGGTGTCATCGTCCACGCGTCACATGGGCGGTGAGTCTCCAATTTAATTATAGATGAGTCGTCCTCCTTCCGAGTCTATCTCATTATTTATTAAAAACTAAATAAAGAATTGAATAGTAAATTTCGAAAAAGGCTCAACTGGAAAAAGCGTAAGCGTCATTTTCGCATAACAGTCGATAGTGAAAATGACTTACGGTTTTCGCAGAGTTGAGTCCTTTTCGAAATTTAGGATTCAGATATAAATCTTGTTTAATGGGCCTTCTGCCACTTTTATAAAATTAAACTTTTCTAAATTCCTGAGCTGGTTTAGTTTTTCCTAATTAAATTAATATAATTCGACGCCTCCCGTTCATATAATGCTTATTGAAATAACAAAACAAGACGATGCTTATTTAGAATTGGGTGCAATATCATTCCCATCAAAATTACAGTGCAAGACAATGCCTATTCAAAATCGCGTGCAAAACAATTCCTACTGAAGGTAGCGAATAATATGATGCTTATTCAAATTTAAGTGCAAGATAATTCTTAATTAAAATTTTCTAAAAAAGTATTCTTATTTAATGTGGTTTCTAAGAAGAGGTTACTGGTGAACATGGGAGGTAAATATTTCTCAATATTTTATGTATGAAAGAAAGGTTAATTTTAGTGATATTTTCAGAATTAAGTAAAAATACTCAAACAAAATGTATGTAAAATACTCATTGCTTAACTAGTTATTATATTCATTTAATTTTTGTTCCTTGTAGGGTCACGGTGGTTCAGGAATCCATATGAAAAAATTTGATCACCTTCCGACAAATCTACATTGAAAATGTTGAAAATAAAATTATTTTTTACAAACATTACATTATTGTTTTCATTACTGTCATTTTTTATGTAAATTAATTTGACTTATTAAATAACATGATAAATTATTTTTTAAAATAAAAATTATTTTAGACTTTTTCTGAATTAAATACAAAAAGTATAAATGAAAGTTGAAAATTTGAGTGTTTTTTTTTTTAAAAACATATTTTGCCTGTCATTTGTCATTTTAACCACAAATAGTTTTCTTGTATAATTGTCCATTTGATATATTTGTTATGAATTGATTTGTAAATTATTTTAAAAAAATGTTTTCAAAAAAATGTTTGAACAAAAACAATTTAATTAAAAATATCGTTACAATAAAAATTGTATAATATTATTGTTTCTATTATTATTATCCACAAAATTATAGTCCACAAAAATATAAAATGAAAAAATTGAAATAAACAGAAATTAAAAAAATTAAACATAAATTACAAATAACAATATAGATTAAAAATTGAATATAATTGAGTTTTTTTTGTAATTATTTTATTTATAAAATAAAAAAGTTATCTCAAATTAATATCAGAACTTGAAGTCATAAGTAAGTGATTGAACATTTATTTCCTCAATATTAATTAGTCAATTACTATGAATTTTTAATTATATTTTCAGTAAATAAAAATGAAAGTTTAGATTTTATAACTAGTAGGTAACCTTAACAATGCTCAAATAGTTTCGTAATATTTTTTTTAGACATATCGGTCTTAATTCTTTTAATTTTGACTTCAGATTTATAATTATCAATAATAAAACCTCACAACTGATAATAGTATGGAAAAAATTTATTTATGTAGTATTAAAAATTAAAAAACCTATTTCTAAAAAGCCCTGGCGGATTCGATTTGCGTAATGTCTACTTAACTAAGCGGACTTTAGGTAGACATTAGGTAGACATGTAAAAAAACGTATAAAAAAGCTATTAATCGACTTATTATGATAAAAAAAAGTTGATAAAAGGGTAAATGAATGTTTATAGAGTAAATTCGTACAAAATTTGTAATTAATAAAGCAATAAATAATTAATAATGAATGGAAATGTGCGCGAGGTACCTGATCAGTTCAGCTGTACAATTATTTTCGTGCTATTTTCATGAAAAGAATATAAATTAACTGCAAAAACAATTGATATTTATAAAAAAGTGTAAAATTGATTTAATTTTATTGTTTGCAATACGAATTATTAAATAATAATTAAGTTTTTATCAAATGTGAATAGTGTTGTGAAAACCTGTGAAAGCTAATGAGTTACTACATTACCGATCGCATATGATAATAAAATGTTCTCGATGAGTGTAACAAAAAAGCTGCAATCATGTCCGTAATTTTGGACGAGAAACAATTATGAAATCAATAATTATTTGTATAACTTTATTCTGCATTTTAAAATTCACTTTTTATTTTCTTTCAAAGCAAAAGCTTGGAAGAAAACATGCTCGCACTGTATTGTAAAAACTGGTGGCGCCATCTCTCATATGCGATCGGTAATGTAGTAACTCATTAGCTTTCACAGGTTTTCACAACACTATTCACATTTGATAAAAACTTAATTATTATTTAATAATTCGTATTGCAAACAATAAAATTAAATCAATTTTACACTTTTTTATAAATATCAATTGTTTTTGCAGTTAATTTATATTCTTTTCATGAAAATAGCACGAAAATAATTGTACAGCTGAACTGATCAGGTACCTCGCGCACATTTCCATTCATTATTAATTATTTATTGCTTTATTAATTACAAATTTTGTACGAATTTACTCTATAAACATTCATTTACCCTTTTATCAACTTTTTTTTATCATAATAAGTCGATTAATAGCTTTTTTATACGTTTTTTTACATGTCTACCTAATGTCTACCTAAAGTCCGCTTAGTTAAGTAGACATTACGCAAATCGAATCCGCCAGGGAGGTTAAAAAATAAAAATTATAATAAACTACGTCATAAAAAAGTAATTCATGGTTAATTTCTAAATCTTTTTTTATTTCTTTTTCAATATTATCAAAATTTTTAAGTTAACCTTACAGTTTTGCGCAGAAAATATTTTGCATTATTCATGTGTTCCCCAGTAATGTTCAAATAAGAATTGTATTGAATAAGAATGATTTTTCAGAAAATTTTGATTAAGAATTTTCTTGCATAAAAATTTGAATAAGCATCATATTATTCGCTACCTTCAGTAGGAATTGTTTTGCACGCGATTTTGAATAGGCATTGTCTTGCACTGTAATTTTGATAGGAATGATATTACACCCAATTCTAAATAAGCATCGTCTTGTTTTGTTATTTCAATAAGCATTATATGAACGGGAGGCGTCGAATTACTTTTCGGGATAATTAACTATTTTTTTGGTTTAGTTTTTTTCTATGAAATAACTTGGCGTCTTGGAATAATTAATAATAATTGAGATAATCAAATTTGCGTGAGGCATTTAAAATACCATTATTATCTCAAAGATTTATATATGCTGACTTATTATTTTTGTTCAAAATTATTAACGGTATTATTATCTGCTCCGAACTTTTTCATTCATTTGGTTTTCATATACCGCAAAGATCCGCAAGACATATCCACAATTATTTAATGTTCCTTATTGCAGAACTGACTATTTAGATAATTGTGTAATTAACAGACTACGTACGGAGGCAAATCAGTTCAATAGTAATGTTAATTTCTTTGGTATTTCTTCAAACTCGTTCATAAGAGAACTTCGTAACCATTTATACGATAATAACAACAATAATGTTAATGTGTCCAATTGAATTTTTTCTTTGTTTTAATTCATAAAATTTCTTATCTATAGTACTTTGTACGAATGGGTTATACTCGTATACTTTCAATAAATAAATAATAAAAAAATCTAGCTAACATTGATTGTTGTAAAATTATAATAATAAAAAATCTAAATTTAAAGTAAAAATCAATAAATAACATAAATTCAACGTTACAAATGGCAATAAATAAATAAATTAAAACCAAATATAGAGGGTATTTTACGTAAAATTAATAATAAAATTAATTAATTATTAAAAATTTCATTAAATTCAATTAAATAAATAAAATACACGTTATAATATATATATATATTATAACGTGTATTTTATTTATTTAATTGAATTTAATAAAATTTATATATATATTGTATATATATATATATATATGGGGGATTCCATATGAAGTGATCAAGGTGAAAAAAGTTTTTTCTCCTATCATGCCCAAACATAGGGCATTTTGTAGTACTATTAGATGGTAATTTTTGGTAAAAATATTTTTCTATTTTAACCAATATTTTTTAGGGGGGAGGGGGTGGAAGTTTTAGGATACCCTTTACTTTAAAAATTTCTATCTCTCACACAATTGAATAAAAAAAATTGCCAATATCAGTTTTGATAGGTTTTTTATGCCCTTTTAATTGGTAATATGCATTTTTGAAAAAAAAATGAAAGTCAAAAATAAATTTGACTTTTTTGGGGTGACAGACCCGATTTTTTTTAAAACGAAAACTGAGGTTTTTTCCTATAAGGACATATAAACGAAAAAGTGGGACTAGAACAATTAACCTTTGAAAATTAGAAATTTGTAGTTACTTGAACGCTGCGAGCTATTATTGTCATCGCGCGCGGTAGCTCGCCGCGTTCAAGTAACCTCAAACTGAGGTCTTTTTGGTGTTCTTGAATATTCGGGACTCTCATCCAAATATATGCACCAGAGAGCTCTTCCCTTGGTGACTTCTAATTCCAATGATCAATAGTGATGTCCTCAACGTATTTATCATCCAGCGAGAATCCTCAATGCCTCGCGAGATTTTTCATAACAGAACAAAAAGACAAATCAGAATCAAATTTATATTTTACAGGTTAACTATTAATCTGATGACATCTTACAGCCATTACGGCTGGATTTCAATCTTGGTGTCGATTATTTACAAAACTTATTTAAATTTATTATTTTTAGGTCGTTTGTACGCGACAAAATGAAGCGTTAAAATATATATATATAAAATAATATAAATAACTTTGAGGGTAATTTATTTGCAGCTTTAATTACAGTCTGTTTTTATCATTCGAACTTCAAACTAAGCTAAAATGCCTTAGTAGAAATATTAATTATTATCGACTGGTAGTAATTTACCAATTTGCATAAACTCGAAATCTCAGTCGATAAATCAGAGATCTGCATTACCGTCTGACGGTAATTGTGTAGTCATGTTATTGCGTCATAAAAGTTTTAATTTCTCATCAACCAATTAATATATTTAATAAATGTCAACTCTGGCAGATTGTAAAGGCAAGATCTGATTGAATTTTGTCAAATTTCGGTCAGGATTTGGTTTAAGGCATTAAATTAAAAAAAAAATAATAAAATATTGTAAAAAATGTTATTGAAACAATAAAACACACTTCTGTCACCTTACTTAGATGTGTAACCTTCTGTCAGTGGTTACGTTTTTGCCGTTAAGGTATTATACCGTACATTTTAAATAACTCAATAAAAAAGTTTTGATTGAAAATTTAGGAAAGAGGAATCAAATTAAAATATACATAATTGAGTGTTTTTTTAATATAAAACAAATCGTATATTATATGTATAATATGTTATCTACAATAATTGAAACCTTCCTCGAAGTACAATTACGCGAGGCAAAAGTCGATAAACATTGTGTTGTTTCACACTTATTGCACACGCATTTGATACTTTCGTTCCTTTGTCATAGTGTCTCTAATAATAATAATATTAATAATTAATAATAATAATATTAATAATAATAATAATATTAATTATAATGTATAGATTTTCGAAGGTAGCGTTTCAGTGATTCAAAAATAGATAGAATTTATTAGGTGCTTCTTTTCTTTTTTTTGGAAATATGATTGATGGGATACACATCGGTTGTCTCACTTTGTATTAAGAAAAGAGAGACTGCAATATTGCCGCGTGCACAAAGTTAATTCCCAAATTTTTTTTAATTGTCCTCTATTCAGAGAGGATCATCATTAGAAGTTGCATTACGTTGTGGTTGCAGGTGACTTCTACTTGGAGAATTTCCAGCTGCAACAGCCGCTTTGTGCTGCGCTGCTATTTGATGCAGTTGCTGGAGCTAGGGAAATAACAATAATAAACAAATATTATTATTTTCATTAAAAATTTAATTTGAAAATATGGGAACAATGTTAAAAATAATAAGCAGTACATAAAATTTATAGTAATAATTTACAAATGGAAAAAAATAAAACACAAAGCACTGTTAAATTATGTCGATATTTTACAGGAATTGATAATCAATTAACAAAGAATATAAATGGATTTATTAAACACTTTGGGTGCTGCAACATTCGATGCCGCAAGGAGGATGAACCATAAAGGCACTCAGTTTCTTAAGATTCCCCAGGTTCGTTTGGAAAGACTTGGAAGTAGAAGACGAAGCGCTTCAAACGTTTCGAGTATCAGCAGCGGAAGAAGTTTGATTCCGTTTGACCTAGACAACGAAACAATTGAAGAAGAACGCAAGAAGTATTTAAAGTTTAGACAGGAGGAAGCTGAGAGTCTTTAGAGGATCGAAGAGGAGATTGTCAAGATGGTAAAGATTAGCGAAGCCCAGAAAAACGTCAACATGAATATTAAGGACGGACTAAAGACTCTTCAAGACCATATCAGTGAGGCGAAGACAAAGCACGCTCTAGCAGATAATGGAGATGGCAAACTTGATGGCAATGCTGAAGTAAAAAAAACTGTGGCAGTCCAGAGAACTAACGCCGAGACGAAGAAGAGAAAGCAAGAGGAGGCGCCTCTTGTCGAAAAGATTGCGAAGGTGACGGTAATTCCAAATCATAAGCAAACCAATAAGAAGAAAGCGACGAGTGGATTTACACCGGGAATTGCATTACAATGTAGAACATTGTTATCGAAAAAGAAACGAGATGAGGTCCGTTGTGTGGCCTATCGGCTTACCAACGGTACAACTCCTATGGACAATAGTCCTTGTTCAACTTATCTCTTTTCTTCAGAACTTCGCAAATTGATTCGTGACTCCCACTGTTTATCCTCATTTAAACATTCGTTCAACAGAGTCATCGTACTACAGCACTGACTCTCACTTTAAAATTAAAGTGGTCGTTTTCCGATAGTCAGAATAGGACACCACGGACCCTCGACTTAGAGCGGGACCTTTCTAATCCCTAGGAACTATCTAGGTTCCTCCCCGAGTTGTTATACCGCAACTCACACATCGACAATTTTGAAGAAATCTGATCACTTTTGGATGAGCTTCCTCTCCATTATATGGCTCTAAGGAATGCGAGCTTTCAACCACTACCTCCACGAGTCCAACACCAGATGACCGGCCAAGGACAAGTATATTGCCGGAGCAAACACAAGTCCAAGTGGGCACCCGATTCCCGTGGTACCATTAGACTCAGGTGCAAGTATCAGTCTGAGCATTCCATTTAATTCTCAACGCTGACCGCTCCTTCCTTCTTGTTAGTCGCCTTTTACGACACGCAGAGGGCAACGTTGGGATTATTTGTCTACCGATGTCCACACGGTCACGAGTTACAATGGTAATTCAAATCGCAGCTGGAAGAACGTATGCCGACGTACTGAGCAAACTTCGGAAGGAAGTGAATCCGATCGTGAGCTACACGCAAGATGTAGGCGCTAGGCCTACTAGAAGAGGAGATCTTCTGATTAAAATTGGAGGAGACTCCAATAAGGAGTAATTCACCTCTGAGGTCACTAAAGCGATTGGAAGCTTTATCCAGGAACAGCAGGTCCAGCAGGCGTTGTTGGAAGTGCTCCAGAAGCCAGGAAGGTCACGGTCCTAGGACCCAACTGACAAGGAATGAAGCTCGCGATTGTAGTCACCGACTCAGAAGAGGCGGACAGGGGAGAAGGTGGGACGTATAAGGATTAGCTTTATGTGTTGCCCAATTAAAAGAAGGGTGATGGTCGTTCGGTGACACCGGTGCCTGGCGTACGGCCACGTAGGAAAAGTTTGTAAGGCAGCGGACGGATCGACTACTTTGCTTCAAGTGCCGTGAAGTCGATCGAGAGTTTGCAAACTACAGTAGAAGACCAAGCTGCTTCCTATGTAGAGAAAAGTAAGATGATAAGGCGAACATTAGCCATATCGCAGACAGCGGAGAACGCAGAATCTTCAGATCGGACCTTGAGGAGTCTAAGAAGAATCTTGCACGAACGAAGAATAAATATGCCAGAAAGATCGGCAACGGCAAGGGTCGCGATAGCAAGATCCCAGGGACCTTCACCTACGAAGTTTAAATCTTGACGGAAGTTCCGTAGTATGAGGATTAGTCCAGTCAAAGGGTGAGGTTTTTAGTGGGTCGACCAGAACAAGAAGGTCATCCCCACATAACCTAACAGCACTGGGCTTTAAGTATCTGCCTTGGATGTCAAAGGTTATGCAGATTTTCCACTTTCCTTGCAAGAAATGGATTTATTGAAGATAACACCAGATTAGATACAATAAAAGCGATTACCAATGGTAACCCAAACGAAGAATATCCAACTTACACTCATTATACAATATTGTGAAATACTTGTACTACTGATGATAATGTGCGGAAATGATGCAGAGTCGATTCCTTTGAAATCCTTTGACAAATTGATTCGCTAACCGACTTCCTTCAATAAAATGCGGTTATGTAATGCGAGGCGTTAAACTCACGTGTCTGGTCGGAAATTGAACACTAAATTATTAAATCTTTGGTTCTAGGTGATACAAGGAATAATCTTTGATGAAACAATTTTTCCGTAAAATTATTAATCACAAAGTACTCAATAGGACACAGTTAGAACACGTGGATTCACGATTAAAGCGTATGAGAAAAATGGCCGCGACCTGATAATATTTAATATCTCCCATCATCATTAGTAATATTTTATCTCCCACTTAGAAGGTAAAAATAGCAAGTTAAAAATTCGTCTAAACGGCATTAAAGTGTCGACAGTTAAAGACAAAATTTAGAAGTGTTGTCTCTCCTCATTTACTTGAGGATTCCCTCTCTTCCTTGTTACCTTATGATTAGGTCCCATGCCTAATTGGTCATGTTTTTCGGATATATCTAATAATTCTTCAGGTTTAAGTAACTAAGCAAATAATTAAAACAGTTCTTTGGATCTATCAAATAATTTAATCTTTAATAGAAGATTTTAACAATCTAAGCAACACTTTTTCTACTGCAGATCAACTAAAAATGGGTTTCTCAGCTCCAAACTGAAACGGTTTGGTTTCAGATGTTTTTGGTTCAAATGAACAATTAATCAAATTAGTTCTTTGCATCTATTTAATACTTCAACAAATCGCTCGTTTTCAGATGCTTCTGGTTTCAGTAACCAAGCAAATAATCGTATGAGACTCTAAACTCCAATATGGTAGACGACAATTTGAAAATGTTATGCAATTCACTTGAAAATGGTTACTGGGAAGTTTTCGGAGTCTCTGATCACGAATCCGATGTCAGTTTTTTAAAATTCAAAATGGCGGATCCAATATGTCGAACAATTTGAAAATGTTATGAAATTCGCTTGAAAATGGGTACTAAGGGGTTTTCGGGGTCGCTGATTACAAATCCGTGGTCAGTTTTTCAAAATTCATAATGGTGGATCGAATATATCGGACGACAATTTGAAAATTTTATAAAATTCGCTTGAAAATGGGTACTAGGGGTTTTTTGATATAGCTAATTACGAAACTGACTTAAAAATATATATTATTTTAATTATTTTAATATTTCATGAGAAAATGGAACGTGCAAACTCTAATACATGAAAATAGTTTTTTTTATCATCTTTAGCTACCAATTGTAAACTGATATTTCTCGATTCACACCGCGTGGAGGTATGATTATGAATTATTATTTAGCTAAAAAACTAGATTTGTCTTTAGAACATATTGATATTTTTTTGGGTACCATCATCGCTATAAATTAAATAAAAATTTGTTTAAAAAAATATTGGACAATCTTGAGGATACAAACAACAGGAAAGATAGAATTTAATAAGTTCGACAAATGCTAAACTTATTCAGCAAAAAAAAAATTATGACATTTAGAAGTTTATTAATGTGAATATCGTTTAATGAACTGAAATTTTCAGATCAATTTATGGGAAAAATTTTTCTTGAGTAAAATACACACTTCTCAGCAAATTTAAGAGTCATGAAAGTGGTGACTTATAATTATGATTGCACCTTTTAAATCACATCGAAAATAGACAAAAGCAATTTTGCCGAAAATCGTAACTCCTTCCCTTAACAAAATATTCGAGAACTTTGATTTTCAAAATTGAAAAAATGCCGTTTTTATGGTATTTTTTGATATTTTATAACGGTACAAAATTTTTTTTTGAAGTTTTCGTGATATGCATTTGAAAGCTCATATTTTCCTGAACAATTTGCAATTTAGAACTTTTAAAACTATTTAATTACAAATCTTAAGTCAGATTCTTAAAATTTTGAAAAATATTTAATATATTTCTAATTCTTACTTGTTGTGGCGACAGTCCGGCAACGTTTACACTTTGTGTCTGTGAACTACATTGACCAGTGGAAGCGGTTCTGGCTTGTAATGATTTTGTAAGTAAAGTTTGTTTATTAGCAGGTACAGCTTGAGAAGGCGATGTCTGTGAGGTCATCAGCATCGGTTTCGAGGCAGCTGACGAATTCAAATTTTTAATAATTATTTTTTAATTACAAAATTCAATTTTGAATATAAAAAAGAAATTTTTTTTGCTTGTTTCTTTATCAATTATATTAATTAAAAATAAAATAATCGACGTACCCATTATTGGAGCTAAAACTTGTTTATTTCCTGTTAAAATCAATTGGCTCGCTGACATTGGTTTCGCTACAGTTACCAATTGATTTGGTAAAACTGTGGCCTTTGCTTGATTATTTGATTGGCCTTGTCGAGCCATTTGACTAAAACGCGGTCTCGGCGAGCCAAGAAGTTGAATGGCCTGGCCTCCCTAAAATAGGTGGGAATTTTTTTTATTCATTTTGTTTTCTTTCGTCATTAATTATAAAATATATTTCTTACAATCAAAATAAAAATTATACGTTATTCTACACACTAAAGGGTGAATTTTTTGAAAACAATAAAAAAAAATTGTTATTTATGTAAATTCTTTTTTAAACACGACAGTAATTATGAAAATTAAAAATGGCAACAACTAATTATTGTCATTCCTTTAAATTAAATCCCTGAGGCAAAAAAAATCACATTCTGAATACTTGATGAAAATAATTAGAAGACGTTTTCATAATTAGACATTATTATAATAGAAATTAAATAAAACAAAATCTAATGTAAGAAATATGTTTTCTTTTTACCTGTGCGAGAGTTACGGCATTTGTATTACGTATATTTTGTTGAGAGATGCCTTTTACTCCCGGTTGAATAATTTGAGCTGTAGAAAAAGTAAATTATAATTTATTTTTAAATTAATACAATTCAATTATTTACATATTTATCTATTAAAATTATTTCTAATAGATAAATTCATATAATTATATTACTCTCGAAAAAAATTTATTAATTTTATCATTTTCAGAAATTTTAATATTATTAATATTATTAATTAATGAAATAACTTACCGATTGGTAACGATAAATGAGTATTGGCAGGATTCGCAATTACTACAGTTGGCGTAGTTCCGGCAATTGCGGTCGTGACAACAGTTGCAGCCACCATCTGTAAAAAAAAAAATTAAATATAAATTTGTTATTTAATATTTTTCTTTCTCACGCATTACGAAATTTTATTTACACTATTCAGTAAAAAAAACAATTAAATTAAAAATAAGCAGTTTCTTAAACTGTTTTTTGAAAATTTTAACTTCATTGGTTCAACTTACTGGACATAGTAAATTTTTAGTTAGAAAAAAGAAAACGAAAAAAAAAAACTTACACTTGAAACAGTAGTGCAAGTATTTGTTGCTGATGAAATAGGAAGAGAAACGATAACTCCCGTTGGTGTAACAGATCCCGTTGCTGCCGAAACGTTCAGTGACATTGTGATTGGTTGTGACAAACCAGGAAACGATACCTGTTTTAAATAAAAATTTATCATAAATTGAAAAAAAAAAATTTAATTCTCTTTTTTAAAAATTATTTTTCTCTTATTCTAAAATTATAAATTTTGATTTTTATATTCAGATACATAAAATCCATTTTTCTCTAAACAAAAAGAGAATAAAAAAATGTGAAATAAATTATAAATTCTACTAGCAAAATTAAACGCGCGCCAAATTGAGTATTTAATTGTTTGTTATAAAAAAAATTAAAGATTCATATTATCAATAATAATTTAATTTATTAGAATATTATTACATATTAAATAATAATAATGAAAATGATATGTTTACAGATCTCGGATTATGCGACTTTTTCCGACTTTTTTCAAAAATACGACTTTTATCGACTTATTTTAATAAAATGCGACATTTTTTTTTTACATTTGAAAAGAAAATGTAAATAAAATATACATTTTTTTTGTATAAAATGTAGATCTTCTTCAGATCTTCTTCAATTCAATTATTTAAAAAATTTTGAACTAAAATGATTCTTCACTAAATTAATTATTTTTAATAATTTTAATGAAATACATCACAAATTCAATTATATCAAAATTATTTTTCAATTAAAATTTTTATGAAATTTAACAATTGTTTATAATTAAAAAAAAAAATATCACAATAAAATTTAATTTTTTTTTTTTAAATTTCAATTCAAAATAAACTAAAATTCAATTATTACCTGAAATTTTAATTCAAAATCAATTAAAAATCCAATAATTATCCAAAATTTTCAATTTAAAATTTAATTATTTACCAAATTTTCAATTTAAAATGAAATAAAATTCAATTATTTTCTAAAATTTCTTTTCAAAATTAACAAAAATTCAATTATTTTCCAAAATGTCAATTGAAAATCAATTATTTTCAAAAATTTCAATTCAAAATGAACTAAAATTCAATTATTTTCAGAATTTTCAATTCAAAGTCAACTAAAATTTAATTATTTTCAAAAATTTCAAATTAACAATAAACTACAATTCAATTATTTTCCAAATTTTAACTGAAATTTAATTATTTTCAAAATTTTCAATCTTAAATCAACTAAAATTCAATTGTTTTAAAAATTTTGAATTTTAATTTAATTAGTTTCATAAATTTCAATTCAAAATCAACTAAAATTGAATTGTTTTCCAAGTATTCAATTGAAAATAAACTAAAATTCAATTATTTTCCAAGTATTCAATTCAAAATGAACTAAAATTCAATTATTTTCTTAAAATTGTGGTTTTAAAATCAACTAATAGTCAATTATTTTCAAAATTTTAATTAAAATTCAATTATTTCCCAAAAATTTTCAATTTAAAATCAAATAAAATTTCATTATTCTTAAAAATTTGAATTCAAAATTAATTGAATTTTCAATAATTTGAATTTAAAAGCATCTAAAGTTTAATTATTTCTAAAATTTTCCATCGAAAATTTTTTTTTTAAATTTAATAATTTCAATTATAACTCTAAGGAAATTCAATTATTTTTAACTATTTTAATAATATTCTTTGAAAATTCAACTATCTGAAACCATTTTTCAATTAAAAATGATTTTCAAATTATTGTATTTTGTCCGCATTTTGTAATAAATTTTTAGTGAAATCATCTAAAATTTTAATTACAAAACACTTAAAGTTTCAATTAATTTCAAAAATCTCAAATTTAAATCTTTGAAAATTCAATTAAATTTAAAAAATGTAAAATTATTTTTAGTACTGTAAAATTTAATAATTGTTTGAAAATTAACAATATTTTTTGAAATTTAATTATTTCTAAAAATTTCAACTTTAACCCTTCGAAAGGGATTATTATTAAAAAAAAAAATTTTTATTTAAAAATCTGTAAAATATTTTTGTTAAAATAAAAAACAAATCCACTTTTTTTTGGAATATAAATCGATTAAAACGACTTTTTTGTGTCTTGAAGTTGATTCGAGGCCTGTGTTTTTATAATTAATATTTAATAGGTATTCGTTGGCCCCTGGTATCTTAAAAATTAATTTTGAAAAATAAATTTTTTTCAAATTACTATCTTGTACGAAATTTCCTGGCGCATCTTTTTTCTCATCATAAATTTTTTGTATTTGTATAGAATTTTTGAATGAATATACAACTTTAAAAAAAATTTTGTTGGTAAACGTTGTGTACTTCAGCTTCGTGAATTGAATTTTCGAATTTGGAATTTTAAAGAAACTTATTCCGAAATTTGGAAACACAATTATACAACTTTGGCAAAAATGAGAAAAAGAATTGTCAACATTTGACACGTCATAAGATTACTATTCAAAAAAACACGTGAAATCAGAAAAGGCCAACTTCAAGTTAGGACAGAAGGATAGACCAAGCATTTTATTATTATATAATTTTACCTGAACATTTTGAAGTCCATTAATGGAATTGGGTAAATTAGCTAAATTGACGCCTTGAAGACTGACGTTGGCAGGCGGTGGACTCGTCATTGGACTCGTTGGTTGGCTACCCTGATTCGAAGAGGCCGTTAGTCTTTCCAATAAGGACGAGGCACTATTTATCCCTGGAATTGGATTATCAGCCGAAGGTGTACCGGCAAGAAGAGCCGAAAGACCTGGCATTGATAATCCAAGCGTTGAGTCTTGAACTCGAGCAAGTCGCACCGTTGCGCCTTTTACCGGTTGTTGTTTTCCTGCCAATTGACTAGCAAGTGCCGAACTAAAATTCACCCTCATCTAAAAACAAATAAAAAAAAAAATATTATTATATAACTAGTTCACAAAATTATACTGCAATTTTTTTTTTTTTTTGTTTAATTCAGCAAAATTTGATTTTAAAACTTTTCTACTCTTCTCTTAAATATAATGTGAATTAAAAACATTACCCAAACAATTGATTCTTCGTTAAATATGAATATAATTTAATGAAGACAACCGCAAGCAACAATTTCAATAATTTTACTTTTTCGAAAATACTTTAAGAAACAAAATCACTTACGGGCGAATTTTTGAAAACTTATGTGCATAAAATTTCAGGTTACAGACAAAAAATTTACCGTATCGAAAAAATACAAAAAATAAAAAAAAAATCATAGTCATAATACCCAAAAATTTGATTTTTATGGCAAAAACCAAAAAAAATCTTAAAATTTATGGTTTTTTTTAGTTTTCACCATAGAAATTAAATTCTTGGGTATTGTCACTATGATTTTCGTAAACAGCGCAAAATATATTTTTTATTTCTCATGCTTCTTTTTAAATTTTTCATATTTTACACGAAAAACGAAAAAAACTACGAATTTTAGAACTTTTTTTTATGGTTTTCATCATAAAAATCACATTTTCGGGTAAAATATGAAAATTTGAAAAAAAGCATGATACATAAAAAATGTATTTCGATGCGCTGATTACGAAACTTATAGTGACAATAAAGCAAAATTTAATTTCTATGGTGAAAACCATAAAAAAACCATTAATTTTAGAACTTTTTATATTAAATTCGACACAATTAAATTCAACACATGAAAATAATCTTTCCTTTTGTGTCGAATTTAATTTATTATTTTTTATAGCTGTGTAGAATTTACTAATGTAATATTAATTTTTGTAGAATTATAAAAAAAAATATTTTTATTTTTCTAATTCTAAATCTTAATGTGTTGAGTTTATTTGTGTAGAGTTTATGGAGATAATTTTCTAGTTAATAGTTTATTGTGTAGGTTTTTTCGATGTAGTATTTAATTGTATAGAATATATTTTTATTTTATTGAGAATTTACTCGTGTACAGTTAACGGTGGAGTATTTTCTTGTGTAAAGTTTTCTCGTTTTGAATTTTATTATTTTCATTTAATATATTGAATTTTGAATGTGTACAGTTTATTTGTGAAGGATTAAATTATTTTTATTTGATGTGTAGAATTTATAAATGTTGAGTTTAATTGTGTAGAATTTTATAAATAATCGGAAATAAAGAAAATATTATTTTCATGTGTAAAATTTAATTGTGTCGAATTTAATTTTTTATTTTTTATAGCTGTGTAAAATTTACTGATGTAGTATTTATTTGTGTAGAATTATAAACAATTTTTTTTTTCATTTTTCTAATTCTAAATCTTAATGTGTTGAGTTTATTTGTGTAGAGTTTATGAAGATAATTTTCTAGTAAATAGTTTATATTGTGTAGGGTTTTTCGATGTAGTATTTAATTGTGAAGAATATATTTTTATTTAATTTTGTTGAAAATTGACTCGTGTACAGTTAGCGGTGCAGTATTTTTTTGGTGTAGAGTTTATTTGTGTTGAATTTGTACCGCCCCGTTCGATTAATGTGATATTTATAAAAATATCGTTACCTGGCCAGTGGTGTTTGGTACGGCTATCACATTGCCATGGCTAATCACTCTTTGTGGAATGGAAGCATTTAAAGAGATCCTCCTTGGCTGTGTCTTTTGTGGTGCTATATTCACTGGATTACTATTCAATAAACTGAGAATTGCAGCATTATTCGATTTTGGAGGAGCTTGCGCGTTATTGTTCATGGCAGCTGCCGCGGCATTCGCTATAAATCAAATTAAAAAAAATTAATAACAAATTACTTAATAATAATAATAATAGTTTAATAATAAATATTAACCTGCAACTTGTTGTTGGTGTTGGAATTTTTTAGCAGAATTCATTAGGGAAGTAACAAGAGCGCTTATTGCTGGATTGGTCGAATGATTTTTAAATGAAACTTCAGTTGAACTTTGACTTGTATCGGCAATACTGCTTTGCGTTCCAGCTTGCAATTGAGCTTGCTGAAATATAATTTATATTAATTTAAATAAATATAAATAAATATCGATAATTGGGGCTATTTTACTCACCCCGAGGGGCTATTATACTCAACGCCAGTTTTTAATTAATAAAATATTTTTATATTGAAATTTCGAAACTTGACGCTTGGTGTAAATATTGTTTGATAGTTTTTATACAGAGGACACTAAATGTTATTACTATTTTTTTTGTCAAAATGCAGAAAAAATTCTCTGAATAATTATATTCACTTCTTAAAAATTATTTATTTTTACAAAATTCTTTTCGTGAAGCTCTGAGTAAAAATGTAGCGTTTTTTTGAGTATAACAATCCCGCTTGGCCGTATACTCTTTAAATTCAAATTTTGTGAATAAAAAATTACAATTTTTTTTTGTATTTTCTAATTTTTGTAGAAATTTTTTTTTTTTTGAAAATTTAAGATTTAAAGATGAATTAATTTTGAATTATTAAGATTAAAAGTGAAAAATTTTCTCACCAAAATTGGAACATTTGTGGTTGTATTGTTAATGGGAGCGGGTTGTTTTTGTTGAAAGACAAAAATTCCTGATCCATTGCAAGGAGTAGGATCAGCAACGGCGGCAGCAGCAGACATTGTGGACGCTTCGATTTGTACCGGAATTGGTGCATTTGGAACTCCATTGGCAAGTGGTTGAATAACAGTGTTGACATTGCCAATTGTGTCCAATTGAGGTATATTTTGAATAACATTTGCAGCATCGGAAGAAGTAAGATTCACTTGCGCTGACGTTGAAGCCTCCATAGCGGCTTTCATGGAAGCCACTTGTCCAGCTAAATTATTTAACTGACCTTGCGCGCGCGAAAGAATCTAAAAAAATAAAAATCATTCACATAACAATATTATTTTATAATTTGTTTTACCGAATGATTAATTCTAAATTCTATTCATAAAATAGCTATTTTCTTTGATTGCAATAGATCAATTGAGGTCTTTTTAATTAAATTATGAAGCAAATTTATAAACGTACCTGTTGCTCAACGTGTTGATTCTGCTGAGCCTGCTGCAACTGTTGAGCTACCAATTGAGCCTGTTGAGCCTTGAAAATAATTAGAAAATTAAAAAGATTGAAAAATTTTTGAATTTGAATTTTTAATTAGTTCTGATTAATTTTCAGGCAACGGATTATACAAGTTTTCGACTTTTTTTTGACTTTTTTTCAAAGATACGATTTTTATCGATTTATTTTAATAATGCAAATTTTTCGATTTTTTTTTTTTACATTTTTTACAAAATTTTAAAACGAAATACATTTTTTTTTAGTATACAATGCAGATATTCTTCGGATCTTCTTTATTTCAATTATTTAACAACATTTTTAACTAAAATTCTTTTCTAAGAATTATTAATAATTATTTTTGATAATTTTAATGAAATTATTCATAAATTTAATTTATCTTAAACTAATTTTCAAATTTTTAATTTTAGAAAATTTTAAATAATATTTTAAAATTAAAAAAAAATATCAACAAATTAAAATTAGCAAAAATTTTAATTTAAAATCACTTGAAGTTCAATTATTTTCAATTATTTCAATTTAAAAACCTACTAAAATTTTCTATCTTAAACTTTCTGAAATTAAATATTTTCAACTATAACTCCTTCGAAATACAATTATTTTATGTAATAATTGTTCAAAAATTCAATTATCTTAAAGGATCTTTCAATTAAAAATTTTTGAAATTCAATTTTTCTCTGTAATTTCTAATAAATTCTTCAGCAACAGAAATCACTGAAAATTTCAATAAAAAATCATTTGTAGTTCAATTAGTTTCAAAAATCTGAATTGTAAAACTTTAAAAATTCAATTACTTTTGAAAAAAGGTTATCTAAAATTATTTAAATTGATAAATTATGTTCAATTCTGTAAAATTTAATTATTTCTGAAATTAAACAACTGTGATTCTTTATAAATTCAATTACTTTTCATAATTTTTGAAATATTCTTCAAAAATTCAATTATCTGAAAGAATTTTTAAATTGAAAATTTTTTGAAATTCAATTATTCATTTAATTATTCAATTATTTTCAAAAATATGAATTATAAAACTTTTGCAAAAAGTTATTTAAAATTATTTAATAAAATAATTTCAATTATGTAAAATTCAATTATTTTTGAAATTTAACAACTGTAATTCATTAGAAATTCAATTATTTTTCATAATTTTTGTAATTTTCTTCAAAAATTCAATTATCTGCAAGAATTTTTCAATTGAAAATTTTTTGAAATTCAATTATTCATTTAATTATTCAATTATTTTCAAAAATCTGAATTATAAAACTTTTGCAAAAAGTTATTTAAAATTATTTAAAAAAATAATTTCAATTATGTAAAATTCAATTATTTCTGAAATTTAACAACTGTAATTCATTAGAAATTCAATTATTTTTCAGAATTTTTGTAATTTTCTTCAAAAATTCAATTATCTGAAAGAATTTTTCAATTGAAAATTTTTTGAAATTCAATTATTCATTTAATTATTCAATTATTTTCAAAAATATGAATTATAAAACTTTTGCAAAAAGTTATTTAAAATTATTTAATAAAATAATTTCAATTATGTAAAATTCAATTATTTCTGAAATTTAACAACTGTAATTCATTAGAAATTCAATTATTTTTCAGAATTTTTGTAATTTTCTTCAAAAATTCAATTATCTGAAAGCTTTTTTTAATTAAAAAATTTTTGAAATTCAATTTTTGTCTGTAATTTAAATAAATTCTTTAGCAACAGAAATTACTAAGAATTTCAATTAATAATCACTTGAAATTCAATTATTTTCAAATGATATGAATTGTAAAACTTTGAAAATTCAAATTACTCTTGAAAAAAGTTATCTAAAATTATTTTTTAAAATTATTTTCAATTCTGTAAAATCGGAAATTTAACAAAATCTTTCGAAATTCAATTATTTATAATAATTTAAATATTTTTTTCAAAATTTCAATTATTTTTAAAATGTTTTAAATAAAAACTCAAAAATTGAATAATTGTTGTCCAAAAAAAACACTGCAGCAGTTTAAAATTTTTTGCAAAAAATTCAAATAAATTAATTAAATCAAACTCCAAAAAAATTTTTTTAAATTTTTTAAAATGGAACTTCAAGAATTTTATTTTAGAAATTTGTACTTAGTAATTAAAATTTTGAAAATTTGTCATAGTTTAATTCTGAAATATTGAAAATAAATTTTCTTGATAATAATAATATTCTTATTGAAGAATTAATTAAATGAATTTAATATCTAATAACATTAATTATTTAAAGTAAAATATTTATTAACTAATTTTTAATTAAAATAAAAAAATCGACTTTTTTTGGATTGTAAATCGACATAAAACTCCTTTTTTCGCCTTAAAGTCGATTTGTGGCTTTGAATTTTATTCTCATCCAAATGAAGAAAAAGAAAACAGAATTAAATGAAAATTTACGATTATATGTCAGAAAAATAATTCTTACACTGATAAAATAGAATTTTTTGTTGATAATTTTGAATATAAATTTGTCATTGCTTTTCGTTAATTACTTTTTGTTAGTACCACAGTGTAGAATTTACTTTTGTTTAAAGTGTTTTCTTTTTTTTTTTGTTTGGTCTTACAATTATTAAAATTTAATAATTTTATACGAAAGGGATTTTTTTTTGTAAGCCAGTTTATATTGTATAAATAAAAATAAAATTTTCACCTGTTGTTGACTACGTTGCATGCCTGGGGTGCACGTAACTCGAGGAACCTGCCCCGGCACAGCGTGTTTTATTCTAACATTTTTCTTTCCCTCTTCTGTGAAAATTTCTGTAAACTGCTGAATATATTGAGTGGCCAGAACTCTATTACCGAGGGTGAATCTGTTTAGAAAACAAAAAAAAAGAGAGATAAGTAAATTTAGGAATTTACAATTTATTTCCCAATTATCTATCGATGAAACCACCAATTTTCTTTAAGAATGTAAAACGTTTTAAAACAAAATTTATGAAAATTATAATTTATTTCTACTTTATTTTTCAAAACATAATAAAATTGTGAGAATAATAAATTCTAAAAAGAAGGCATTTTATCAATATTTTACTAAGATCTTTTTTTAAAAAACGTAATTTCCAGTTTCATAAAAATTAACAGAATTTTTAAAATGATAAACGCTTTATCATTTTAGACTTATTTTAAAGATAGTGAACAATGAGAATTGTTTGTAATTTACAAAAAAAAATTTGTTTCCTAACAAATGTAAGTCATTAAAGTTGTATTAAAAAAAAAATTTATAAAACAAAAAAATAATTTTTAAAATTCAAATAAATTTATTTAATTTACCTGCATGACGATCCATTTTTTTCACCCTCTCGATAATCTCTGTCCACGTAGAGCTCTCCCAGGTACTCAAAATTGGAAAGTCTTTGTAGGATTGAGAGCTTTATGTGGTAGATTCGTCCTTGGCCCCTTTCAGTCTCTAATATATATTCTTCTACAAGTTGTGGCATGCAGTCTTTCGTTTCTCGCGGTCGCTCCAATTGTTTCGCGTATCTAGAGGCGAAAAATTACATTTACTTTCTATTTTTATTTTTTCGTATTTCAATAATAATTCTTTAACATTTTAATATTTAACTACCAAATAGAAAAAACTTTTTTTTTTAACTTTTAACGAATACCGTTTCTTTTAAAATTATTAAAAAATTTTTTGTCAAAAATAATTTTAATCACTAAAACAACAATCGAAAATAGAATTAATTAATTCATCAGAATTTTTTATAAAAAAAATTTATTTTAATAAAATATATTTTAAAAATGTTTTTAAAGAATTTTATTAGAAATAATAATTTTTTAAACGAATTTTCATTTTTCTAATTAATATTTGACTGAATTTCTTTTCATACAAATTTTTATTTAACATAATTTTTACTTAACGAATTTTTTGTTTTGCAAAATTTTTAATTTTACAGTCATTTAATTTACATGACTTTTTATTTAAGAGAATTTGAATTTAAAAAAAAAAAATTCTCATTCAATCGAATTTTTAAATGACTAATTCCAATTTACCGAATTTTAATTTGTCCTAATTTTTATTTGTATGAGTTTTTTTAATTGATAAAATTTTAAATACGACGAATTTTTATTTAACCGAAATTACAAATGGTCGAACAAATCATTGACAGAAAGAATTCGGCGCAATTTTTAAAATTGGCCAATCACGAATTTTTTTATGATAATTTCTAATTGGACAATTTTAAAAATTGCGCCGAAATTTTACTGTCGATGATTTATTCGGTCATTTGTAATTTCGGAAAAATTAAAAATCGACGAATTGGAATTTCTGTCGTTTAAAAATTGGAATCACATAAAATTTGATTGAATGAGAATTCTGTTTAATTAAAATTCGCTTCAATTAACATTATTTTAAATAAAAAGTCAACTAAAAGAAATAAGTGTAAAATAAAAATTCTGCTAAAAAATTTTTTGTTGTATGTTAAAAAATTCGTATAAAAAGAAAATTTGATAAATTTTTTGTTGTATGTTAAAAAATTCGTATAAAAAGAAAATCTGATAAATTTTAATTCGAAAATTGCAAATTTGTCTTAAAAAGTAATTATTTCTAATAAAATATTAAAATGCAAAATTTACACAAAAATCGATAGTTTTAATTTTTAAATAAATTAAATTTATATAAAATTAAAGAAAAGAATCAAGTAAATTTTAGTGGATAATTTTTCGTTTGATAATTTTGAAAAATTTAGTATATTTATTACAAATATCTAGAAAAAAAAAATTAAGAGTATTTAAAAATATTAATAGAATTATTGAAATTATTTCATAATTAGTGAAACTTTTTCATAATTATTGACAAAAAAACTATTTCATATAATTATTAAAATATATTATAGATCATAAATTAATTAATATCAATGCTTTCTTCTTATTTTTGTAAATTAAAAAAAGAGATAATTAATTAATTTTACCTTAAGACTTCAAGTGGTGAGCTCGGTGGCAAAAGTGGAGGATTGGCAAGACAAGGCGTTCGACAATTGTGAGCTACTGGTGTTCCATTCTTTGCACGGATTTTCTGCATTAAATCCTGTATCGTAAATCCTTCAGGCTGTGACAATTGCTCTAATTTCCTTTTGCGATTTACCGTTACCTGGCGAAAAAAAATATATATATATATTAATGAAAAATTAATTTTGGTGGTAGAAATAGAGAAAAAAAAAAAACAATTACAAACCTGAGAAAACTTTTTGGCTTGGCGCATTAATTGATGATCGGTGAGAAGGGCTCTTGATTGTTGAAGCCGTGTTGTTGCCAAACTTGGAATTGGATTTGGATCTAAGCATAAGGGACCTTGTGTAGCTGCCACCAAATGTGACTCAAGCACCAGCCTCTCTTCGTGACTCCATTCTCCGTTGCTCGTCAATGTTGAAACATCCGAAAGAACGCTCTAAATACACAAACGTTAATACATTTCTTAGTAAATAAAAAGTTTTTTTTTTTTTTTTTTGTATCGAATTACTATTTTTAACTTTGCGGTACTTTCAAAATTAAACAAAATTCAGTTAATGGAATCTAGATTTAACAATTTTTAATTTTTAATTCAAATATCAAAATCAAAACTAAAAGTTGAATTTTACTTCTGAAAATTTATTCCGAAATAAAAGTATTTTTAAATTTTGTTTTAATTCTATGAACTCAATATTTGTTTGCCGCTTCGGGGGCAAAAATCGACCCTTTTTTTAACATCCTGAAAATTTAAAATACAAGTATGATAGTTTTTTCTAAACATAAATATACCTGAGTTGTTGGTTTGAGTAAGACATGATGAATATCAGGTTTGGTGTGATGTCTGCGATAATCTCGAACCTCAGCAATTATACAACCATCGTAGAATAAGTGTGAATGGCTTGATTCCAATTGCTCGGCCAACATTGCAGGCAGCTGACCATTATCAATACAAGATAGAAATTCCCCTTGCTCATAACCCATCAATTGAGTCTCCGAAAGCAGAGCATTCTTGTCATATTGACTTCCTTTATCGCTGTTTTTTTCGAATTATCAAAAAATTTCTCCAATTATTCCAGTCATTAATTTCAATAACAAAAAAAAAAAATATATATATATATCAACTTACCTATTTCTTACGCCTAATGAGTATCCTTTGTTGCTAGCGTACAAATTAACAATCAGCGTGTGCAGGCTTTCACGCTGAACCAATCGCCCCAAGAGATCGCATTCATTTTGAAGATTTTTCTGTTATTCCAAAAAAAGAAAAAGTTAATCACAAAAAAAGAAATAAACAACTAATAAATTAACAATTTTTTACAATTTTCATTTAACTGATCTGCTTTTTCATTATAACAGGTCTCGGATCGACTTAAAGGCACAAAAAAAGTTTATTTTAGTCGATTTTATATTCCAAAAAAAAAGTGGATTTTTTTTATTTTAACAAAATTTAATTGGTTAATGAATAATTTACTTTAAATAATTAATGCAAGTTATCTAACAACTGCAGGGAAAAAAATTCCCTGACCTAAATTACAAAAAATTTTTATTTTGATACAATTTTAAATCATTTACCTGTCTATTATCCACTAATTTCATATGTATTTGAATCAAATAAATAATGTTTCGTAAAAAAAAAATATATTTAAGTGAAATAAATAAACTAATTGGAGACATATAAATATTCTCAACATTTAATTTAAAAAAACTTTTACGGCGTTAAATTTTAAATTATCAAATTTTTATTTAGTAAAATTATATAAAGCAGATTTTCCAGTACACCAAATTTCAAATTAATACAATTTCAATTTAACGGAATTTATTTCAAGAAAAATTGCAGAAAGAAAATTTTTTTTCAACAGAATTGTTAGTTTTTAGTAAATTTCTCTTTATCAAAATTAACAGAATTGTCATTGAATAAATCGACAATTAACAGAAATTCTATTTAACAAAATTCCTTAATTAACAAAGTTTTTATTAAAGAAAATTTTAATTCCAACTAATTCTTATTTAACAGAATTTCTCATTTAAGAAAAATTCTACTTAGTTCTTTTTTTGTTAATTTTTTATAGACATAAATTTCGTTAAATTGAAATTATATTAATTTAAAAATTTTTTAAAAGTATTAGAAAAAATGCTTTATAAGAGTTTTGCTAAATAGAAATTATCAGGCTTCGAATCGACTTAAAGGCACAAAAAAGTCGTTTTAGTCGATTTTATATTCCAAAAAAAAAGTCGATTTTTTTTATTTTAATAAAAAAGTATTACAGATTTTTAAATAAATTTTTTTTTTTTAAATAATAATTTTTGAAGAGTTAAAGTTGAAATTTTTAAAAATAATTGAATTTCCAAAGAATTTGTTAATTTTCAGACAATAATTAAATTTTACAGAACTAAAAATAATTTTTATCAAATATTTTTTGATAACATTCTTTAAAAATAATTGAATTTTCAAAGATTTACGCTTGAGATTATAGAAATTAATTGAATTTCAAGTGATTTTTAATTAAAAATTTTTGATGATTTTACTAAAAAATTTATTAGAAATTCCAGACAAAAATACAATAATTTTAAAACCGTTTTTAATTGAAAAATTGTTTCAAATAGTTGAATTTTCGAAGAATATTATAAAAATAGATAAAAATAATTGAATTTCACGAGAGTTATAATTGAAATTATTAAATTATTACATTTGAAATAGAAATTTTTGAAAATAATTAAATTTCAATTGATATTTTTGATAATAATTTAATTTTAGTTGATTTTGGATTGAGAATTTTGATAATTAATTTGGAATTGAAATTTTTGAAAATAATTAAATTTTAGTTGATTTTGAATTGAAAATTTTGGAAAATAATTGAATTTCAATTGAAATTTTGGAAATTTTGGCCTATTAAATATCTACTTTTTCAAGTTCAATAAATAATTTTTTATTTGTACCAAAAAATACAAAATATTCAATTTATAAATGAAAAAATATTTTAAATAACATTTTTATTAAATAATTAATATTAATTAATAATAATTAAATTTTATTTTATTAAATAATTTGTAAACATTAAAATTTGATGCTTATTAATTATATATTTTTTTTATTTTAAATTATTATTATAATTATTAATATTATTATTATTATTAATACTGCAAATATATTTTGTGTTTATTGTTATAAAAGTTATAAATATTAAATATTTATTTATTATTATATTTAATATATTATTTACTTTAAATAAATTCTATTTGTTTGTAGTTTCTAATAAAAATTGTTTTCTTTTTTTAATAAATTTATTAGAAATTATAGACAAAAAGTGTACTTAAAAATCTTTTCAATTACAAAATGCTTTTAGATAATTAAATTTTCGAAGAATATTATAAAAATCATTAAAAATAATTAAAATTATTGCAAATAATTAAATTTCAAGTGATTTTGAAGTAAAATTTTTTAGTAATTTTATTTGCTAATTTTTTTTTAAATTATAAACAATTATTAAATTTTATAAAAATTTTAATTGACAAATAGTTTAAAATAGTTGAATTTCAGGAGAGTTATAATTGAAATTATTAAATTATTACATTTGAAATTGAAATTTTTGAAAATAATTAAATTTCAAAATGAAATTTTGGATAATAATTTAATTTTAGTTGATTTTGGATTGAGAATTTTGATAATTAATTTGTAATTGAAATTTTTGAAAATAATTAAATTAAATTTTAATTAAAATTTTGGATAATAATTTAATTTTAATTGATTTTGGATTGAGAATTTTGATAATTAATTTGGAATTGAAATTTTTGAAAATAATTAAATTTTAGTTGATTTTGAATTGAAAATTTTGGAAAATAATTGAAGAATTTATTAGAAATTGCAGACAAAAAGTGTACTTAAAAATCTTTTTAATTACAAAATGCTTTCAGATAATTGAATTTTCGAAGAATATTATAAAAATCATTAAAAATAATTGAAATTTTTGCAAATAATTAAATTGCAAGTGATTTTGAATTAAAAATTTTCAGTAATTTTATTTGCTAATTTTTTTTTTTAAATTATTAAAAAAATTATTAAATTTCATAAAAATTTTAATTGACAAATAGTTTTAAATTGTTGAATTTCTGATGAATTTCATTAAAATTATTAAAAATAATTAATTTAGTGAAGCATTTTAGTTCAAAATTTGCTAAATACCTAATTGTAATAAAAAAGATCTAAAGAAGATTTGCATTTTATACTTAAAAAATCGTATTTTGTTAAAAAATTTTGTTAAAAAAAAATGTAAAAAAAAAATCGAAGAAGTCGTATATAATCCGAGGCTTGTTATAAAACAAATTTGAATTAAAATATAAAATTATTATTTAGTAAATTATTATTATTCTTACCAGAACTGAAGCTGGAGTTGCATGCGGAACTTTGGACAGTTCTTCGAAATACAGTCTAGTAAGTTTCGATTGGATAGTATGTTTAGAATAGCTTTGCTCCTTCTTGTGGGCCGAGGGCAGTTTCTCTGACATTAAACCATGACCTGGTGTGTCTTTACAGGTTTTAGAAACCTGATTTATTAATTCCTGACAAATTGAATAAAAAAAAAATCGTTATTATTTTTCGTTATCGAAAACTATTTAAATGGACATTTTTTTTTTGAGAATTTTTCTATTTTGGCTCAAATTATAAAATTTGGCGCCCAAAATCATTTTTGTTATTTCTTTATTCAGCTATTTCAAATTTCAATGAAATCACCCTCTTAATAATTCCATTAAATTAACAATTTGTGAAAAGAAAAATTCGAAAAAATAAAAAAATTAGATGAAATGAAAATTTTGCTATTTAAAAATTCGGCTAAATTTAAATTCAATTAAATTTCAATTCTTTTAAATAAATATTTTAAATAAAAGAAAAAAAAATGCGAAAAAAAATGCAAATTCTGTTATGTAAAAATTTGTTTAAAAAGATATATTAATAAGAGAAAAAAAATATATTAATAAATAGAAAAATATTCATAAATAACAAAAAAAAAAAATAATTTTTTAAAAATACGGAAATTTGTTAGACAAAAATTTTTTTCACCTGTGCCTGCCTACAAGCATCTTCCAAATTGGAAGAGGTGGCGATCATCTTATCTCTTCTTTATTCAATATATCTAATGTCATATTTCATGCAATACTTCTTCCCATTCTGTAACAAAAATCGTATCTTTATTTTTCATTTGTTAATTAAAAGAAGAAAAAAAAAAGTTAACAGAATCAAATATCAAATTAATTTATTATTTTAAAAATATTTTATTAGGCCTATTAAATATCTACTTTTTCAAGTTCAATAAATAATTTTTTATTTCTACCAAAAAAATACAAAATATTTAATTTATAAATGAAAAAATATTTTAAATAATATTTTTATTAAATAATTAATATTAATTATTAATTAATTGTTATTAAAATAATAATTAAATTTTATTAAATAATTTTTAAAAATTAAACTTTGATGGTTATTAAGTATATTTTTTCTATTTTAAATTATTATTATAATTATTATTATTATTATTATTAATACTGCAAATATATTTTGTGTTTATTGTTATAAAAGTTATAAATATTAAATATTTATTTATTATTATATTTAATATATTATTTACTTTAAATAAATTCTATTTGTTTGTAGTTTTTAATAAAAATTGTTTTCTTTTTTTTAATAAATAATTAAAATTATATGAATTAAATTTAAATAAAAAAAATATCTAATTTACAGAAAATAGAAACAATTTTTACTGAAGAAAACCTAAACAAGGGTAGAAATATTTTTAAAAAAACTAAAATTTAGTATTGCAATAATTTAGTTTCAAAATTTATTTCAAAAACTCAAAAATTACAAAAAAATTCAATATTCTAAAAATTTTTCATGCTTTTCGAACAGCTGATTCAAACGGTACATAAATAAACATTCTGCCTTGATTTTCTGTATCACAAGGTGAATGAGAAAAAAAAACATTTTCACAAACTCCATTTCATTAATTTTTCACTTTTCTCATTTCTACTTTAAAATTTTGCCAAATACATTAAATATTTTGAATATTAATTATATTGATATAAATTTAAAATTAAAAAAAAAAAAAAAAAAAAAAAAAAATTTGTAAAAATTTATCAATGAACAAAAAATTACAAACAAAATTTATTCCTAATTTTTTTTTTTAGAAAAGAAGAAAATAAATGTAAAAAAATAAAATAAAATTCCAACAATACAAAAAAAAAAAAAGAATAAAATTTACAAACAATTTACAAACTACTTGAAAAATTAATTTTTGTGTAAAAAAAATAGTCACAAAAATGAAAATTTTCTTTCTCACACTAAATTTTTGTTTCGAAAAACAAAAATTAAATATTTTTTGCTAAAAATCAAAAAAGTCACAAAAAAAATTAAATCTTATAAATACGAAAGTATTTTCAAAAACAAAAACACTGATTTTTCCCAGAGAAAAAGAAAATAAATAGAGAGAGAGAGAAGTAAAAAATAGAACAAAAATAAGTGACTTTGAAAAGTTAAGAAAATGAAAAAAATATATATATATAAGTGCTACACATAACTTTTGTTTTTTCTTTTTTTTTTATCGAGATGAAGCTTCTTGAAATCTTATCGCATTTGGCATCATCGTTAACGTGTTGAAACACAAACACATACACAGTGAGAGAAATTTAGACACGAAAAAAGCAAAGAAAATAAAAAAAAAAAAAAAAAAACTTGAATTCTCGAAAAAAGAGAAAGGGGACGAAGCAAAAAGAAAAAAAAAAGAGGTTAGAGTTCGAAACTCACCCGATGATGAGGTTAGGATGATTCGAAGTTTGAGAGAATTTATATACATATATATACACAAACACACACACACACATTTATATTATAATTTGCAAAAAGGAGCGCATCTGTCGAAACGTCAAAACATGAGAGTAGAGAGGGTTTGAGGGAAACGGGGTGGGGGGGAGGTGTGATGGGATATCTTGGAAATGAGGTTATGTGAAAGTCTATAAAAAAAAAATTCTCACTTTTTAATTTACACATAAAAAAATTTAGAATTAAAAGAAATAAATAAATTTTCACAATATAATTACCTTGATAGTGATTAAACAACACTTGGATGATAAACATTTGGACACCAAAAGCAAAAAAAAAAAAAATATATCTCACACACAATTTTTTTTTTCACACACACAAATACACACTTACACTCTCCTAACCTCACACAGTGATCGATAAACAATCCAAATTTTTAATAACAATATTTTTTTTTTATTTATAACCGCGTGAATTCGCGGCACTTATTTATTTATTTTTTTAATAAATAGTTTCTATAGTTGAGAAATGTCATTTTCGAGTAACAAGTAACCTATTATACAAACACCAGACATCAGGCACAGACTGCGCGAGAAATGGGAAATGCATAAGCCACTAAAAAAAAAAAGTTATACACAATTTGAATTTTCACATTTTTATTTTGTTCATTCATTCACAGTTGGCGCTGAAAACATTTTGTGTGGTTTTTTGTTTTTAGCGACAACTATTGGGGATAAATTGTACTAAAAATTGAGACACATTGATGGGTAGCGTAGCCTCAAGGTACTTCTACAAATTACTATTTTCCTTTTTTAAAGGTGCTTTTATACTTCCAGTATTTTGGTCGTTGGATTGAATTTTCACGGAGAATCACTGCATTTTGATTATGGAGCATTTACACTTTCGGTAAAAAATTTTCTTTACCTTACATTTTCCGAAATACAGATACCTAATTGGTTGTCCAGAATCTGATTTATTGTGGACAAATCATGTAAAGGTGCTTAAGGTGCTTATATACCTCAAATTTCGATCAGATGAACATTATTTCTGGACCGTGAAAATGCGTGAAAAGTCATTTTCACGGCGGGTATTTTTGAATTGTTTTATACAAAAAATGTTTTTTTAAGAAAAATAATATTAAATAATTGTTTTAATATGTAAGAACACTTTAAAATAGTGATAGAGAGATGATTTGATTAAAAAATTTAGCAAATTTTGCTTTAAAACGTTTTCTGCTACAAGAAAGTGTAAAATGACGATGTTTGTGAAATGGTTTGTACAGTGCTTCTTCCTTGTTAGTGTCTCTCAGAGTTTTGTTTATGTTATGTCGTTTCTTTTTAACTTGTAATTAATAATGAGTGCTGAAAATAAATCGGTAAGTTGAAATGTTTATCAAATAAATTTAAATTCAACTAATTGTTTCGAATAACTGAAAGAAACATGTACACATGTACACTGTACAAACCATTTCACAAACATCGTCATTTTACACTTTCTTGTAGCAGAAACGTTTTAAAGCAAAATTTGCTAAATTTTTCAATTAAATCATCTTTTTATCACTATTTTAAAGTGTTCTTACATATTAAAACAATTATTTAATATTATATTTCTTAAAAAAAACATTTTTTGTTTAAAACAATTCAAAAATACCCGCCGTGAAAATGACTTTTCACGCATTTTCACGGTCCAGAAATAATGTTCATCTGATCGAAATTTGAGGTATATAAGCACCTTCACTTTGCATTTTCCGAAATACAGATACCTGATTGGTTGTCCAGAATCTGATTCATAGTGGACAAATCATGTAAGTGTATTTCGAAATACAAAGTAAAGAAAATTTTTGCCGAAGGTGTAAAGGCTTCATAACAAAATTGAATTTTCTCGATGGAAATAGAATATAGAGCCAATCAAATTTCGTATAAAAGCATCTTTAAGGTGCTTATGTACCTCAAATTTCGATCAGATGAACATTATTTCTGGACCGTGAAAATGCGTGAAAAGTCATTTTCACGGCGGGTATTTTTGAATTGTTTTAAACAAAAAATGTTTTTTTTAAGAAATATAATATTAAATAATTGTTTTAATATGTAAGAACACTTTAAAATAGTGATAAAAAGATGATTTAATTGAAAAATTTAGCAAATTTTGCTTTAAAACGTTTTCTGCTACAAGAAAGTGTAAAATGACGATGTTTGTGAAATGGTTTGTACAGTGTACATGTGTACATGTTTCTTTCAGTTATTCGAAACAATTAGTTGAATTTAAATTTATTTGACAAACATTTCAACTTACCGATTTATTTTCAGCACTCATTATTTATTACAAGTTAAAAAGAACCGACATAACATAAACAAAACTCTGAGAGACACTAACAAGGAAGAAGCACTGTACAAACCATTTCACAAACATCGTCATTTTACACTTTCTTGTAGCAGAAAACGTTTTAAAGCAAAATTTGCTAAATTTTTTAATCAAATCATCTCTCTATCACTATTTTAAAGTGTTCTTACATATTAAAACAATTATTTAATATTATATTTCTTAAAAAAAACATTTTTTGTTTAAAACAATTCAAAAATACCCGCCGTGAAAATGACTTTTCACGCATTTTCACGGTCCAGAAATAATGTTCATCTGATCGAAATTTGAGGTATATAAAGGTGCTTATATACCTCAAATTTCGATCAGATGAACATTATTTCTGGACCGTGAAAATGCGTGAAAAGTCATTTTCACGGCGGGTATTTTTGAATTGTTTTAAACAAAAAATGTTTTTTTTAAGAAATATAATATTAAATAATTGTTTTAATATGTAAGAACACTTTAAAATAGTGATAAAAAGATGATTTGATTGAAAAATTTAGCAAATTTTGCTTTAAAACGTTTCTGCTACAAGAAAGTGTAAAATGACGATGTTTGTGAAATGGTTTGTACAGTGCTTTTTCCTTGTTAGTGTCTCTCAGAGTTTTGTTTATGTTATGTCGGTTCTTTTTAACTTGTAATAAATAATGAGTGCTGAAAATAAATCGGTAAGTTGAAATGTTTATCAAATAAATTTAAATTCAACTAATTGTTTCGAATAACTGAAAGAAACATGTACACATGTACACTGTACAAACCATTTCACAAACATCGTCATTTTACACTTTCTTGTAGCTGAAACGTTTTAAAGCAAAATTTGCTAAATTTTTTAATCAAATCATCTCTCTATCACTATTTTAAAGTGTTCTTACATATTAAAACAATTATTTAATATTATATTTCTTAAAAAAACATTTTTTGTATAAAACAATTCAAAAATACCCGCCGTGAAAATGACTTTTCACGCATTTTCACGGTCCAGAAATAATGTTCATCTGATCGAAATTTGAGGTATATAAGCACCTTAAGCACCTTTACGATTTGTGCCTTGGCTCATTAAGGGTAAATTCACATGGTAAAAACTAAAAATAAATCCACGCATGCGTTTCCTGACATAACCTCCCCATATCTGACTATTTTGAATCGTCTGCTAAATAATTTTAAACGTCCAAAAAATAAAAAAAAAAGAAATTAAAAACATTGAAAAAAAAGGATAAGGAATTATTAAATGAAATAGTAATTAATTGTTAATTTTGGTTATTTATTTAACGTGAGTGTTTATTTGAACATAAATTTTTTTTTCTTATATCTTTTTTTGTATTTTAAAATTAAAATATTTATACTTTATAATATAGATTAGTGAATTTTTCTTATTTGTAATAAACTTTATTCTTTTAAACTAAAAACAAAAAGATTACAGTTATATGATTTTTTTTTATGAAATATTTTTTTATATTCAAAAGATTTAAAACAATTTTTTTTTTCTTTTTATTTGCGAAAAACTTTGAATTTATTTTGTTGAGGTTTTTGAGGTTATAAAAATAAAATTTTATTTAAATTTTGTACATTATTTTATTTTGATTTTAAAACAACTTTAAATATGAAAAAGCAACTTTTCTTTTAATTCATTTATTAGATTTGAGAAATTATTTGATTTTTTATATTACTTTTTTTTTTAATCACTATTTTATTAAGATGGTAATTATTTTATAATTAATTTTTCTTTATTTATTTATTTTAAACTTTCAAAGAAAAAAAATTGTCCGATAATTAAAAATTTTTCGGTTTATTTCAAAAAAAATTTTAAGATTTAAATATTTTTATCAACTTTTCTCTGTGATAATTTTTAATTTTTTTTTAATATTTAAAAAATCAGAAAAAAAATATTTAAAATTTGAAGATTTTTTTAAATATTAAATTTTAAATTGTTTTACAGTCATTAAAAATTATTGTCCTTTTTTTTAAATAAAACAAAAAAGAAAATTGTTATATATTCTTAAATATCAATTTCCACTTTTTTTTCAGAAGCGAAAAACAAATATGAACTCATTAAGAAATTGCAGCAAATTATTGTTAAATGTCTCAAAAATAAATGTCAATTACACAGGTAAAAATATAAATTTTTATTTTTATTTCCTACGGGAAATTAAGATTTTTTTTTGTTGTTGTTAAAGTTGAATTATTTTTAAAATAATGAAACAAAGGAGACTTTTTATTTCCAATTTCTATCATTCCAAAACAAAAAAGTAATTCAACTTTAATTAAATCATGTAAGGGAAAAATTTATTTTCAAAATCAAAAATTAAGAATTTTATTTGAATAATTCTGTTTAATTATAATTAAAAAAAAATTTTATTAATATGTACATTTCACTAAGTGAAAATTTTATTTTATTTTATAATTTAATTTTTTTATTTTTATTATCTAACAAAAATTTTTATTTTAGTTTCTTTTGTAGAAACAAAACAAAAAAAATAATTGTCCTGTTAATAAATAAATAAATAATTTCATGTAAGTGAGTTAGGCTTTATGAAGTGGCCCCCTATTTTTCTAACTTACATAAAAATGAAAAGTAAATGTATTTTCTTGCAGTATTAATAGTATTAAATGATATCCTAAAAGGGTTTAAAAAATTTTTCTAAATTAAAAAAGTTATAAACAATTCAAGTTTTATAGGCGATATTTTTAAAAAATTCCCCAGTTTTTTAAGTTTACATTGAAAAAATATTTTATGACCGGGATTTTATTATTAAACGTATGGACTTTTATAGAAGTAATGTTAATGTAAAAAAAAATTTATTTTTTAATGAAAAATTGGGTACTTTTTTATAAACAAACAATTTTATTAAAAAAAAACTCTTGCCATTTCCTCAAAATTGTAGATTACTGAAATTTTTTTTTTTTCTTACTTCTTCTGGAGGCTTTGAAGATTGATATAAAATATAAAAGAAAAAATTTATTTTTCAATTTAGAACACTAAAATATCTCTACACTTGTTTATAAAAATTTTAAATTAAAAAAAAAATTTTTAAACCCTTTTAGGATATCATTTAATACTATTAATACTACAAGAAAATACATTTACTTTTAATTTTTATGAAAGTTCATAACTTCATAAAGCCTGACTCAGATATTTTTATTTTTATTAATAATCAAATATAAATTGTAAAAATACAGCTCAGAGGAATATAAGAAGAACTTATGCTCCCACTTTAATCGAACTTACTAAGAGAAAAAAATTATTAAAAACTAAAAATCCAGAAATTCGAAATCAATTCTTGGAATGGAATCGAGATTCTGAACTTTATGCGTTTAATCAAAGACTTTCAGAAAAATTCGAAATGGATTTATTGGAACGTGCATTAACTCACAGGTCTCTAAATAATAATAATAATAATAATATGAATTAATAATAATAATAATAATTCTATATAAAATAATCCAGAGATTCCGTTATTAGTTTTATCTGCATTTATTTTTTTACGTATGGAAAATTCTAATTTTTATGGGTTATTATCATTGAAACTTTCTTTAATTTTCAAGATTTAGAAATTTTGTTTCTTTTAATTTTAACAAAACGAATATTTAAATTCAATTTAATAAGTTTAAAAAATACATTTACATAATTTTTTATTAGAAATAACGACAAAAAATATATTCTTAAATGAAAAAAAAAAATATTAGGTATATTTTATTAATTATCCATTGTTTCTTAAAATTACAACTAACTGATTAATGCTAATTTGCAGTTATTTAATTTTTAAATTATATTAATGTATATAAATAAATAAATAAATTTATTTCGCAGAATTTTTATTTGCTTAAATTTTCGTTTAACATAATAGCTATTTTAATAAAGTTTTCATTTTCATTGTACAGCATTTTCATTTCAATAAATTTTCATTTGTTCGAATTATTATTATTTAATAGAATTTCCATGTAACCGATTTTTTATGCATCTCTTTAATGTTAATTTTTGAAATATATTTTAATTTTTTTTTTTTAGATCTCACGTTATTATGGAAGAAGAAAAACAAAAGAAAGTTGGAATTGAAAATCCAGTGATAAATATACCAGATAATAGTGAATTAATTGCCGAAGGGGAATTAATTTTGCCAAAAATTGTTGAAAATTATTTAAATCTCTCATTGCCTTATGCTCCACGAGAATGTATTCAGTAAATATTTTTTCCCCTTCTTTATATTGATTGAAATAATTTTTAATATCAAATTTCTGATATTAATTTAAAGCTTCGTCGATAAATTACATAACGCTTTAAAAGAAAAAGGGGTGGGTGGGCGTAGGAAAAGGGTAAAAACAGCGTGACGTAAATTATAGACGAAGCCTTAATTTGTAATTTAATTAATTGCATATATTGTAGAATTTTGGCCAATTATCTTCTATCAGCTGAAATGTTGTCAAAAGTAACAAAAGGCATAGGATTGGAAGAATTAATTTTTACAGCTGTAAGATTTTTTGGTTTTTTTTTTTAATTCCCAAATTTAACTTTCTTTTTAAAAAAAAATTATTTCAGGAATTTCCAATTGACGAAATTACACTTGCCAATACATTTTATGCCTTAATTGCCTCATTAAATCGTTGTACAGATTTAAATCACACAAGTATTTTTGTTCGTGATTTTCTCATTGTTAATTTGGCTGAGAAAGATTTAATGGAAATTTATTGTCCAGATGAACCATTCGTTATTTTAGATGATATTCTTTTAAATGAAGATAAACTACCCGTTGAGCCGAGAATTATTGGACAATCGGGAATAATGACAATTCAATCAGTTTATCATATTGGACTTTATTCTGGTGAAGAATTCATTAGTTCAGGTAAAAATTTTTATTTTATAATATTTAATATTTTATATGGGGCAAAATTTATTAGTAATAATTGAATTCCAGGAGATTTGAAATTTAATTTTTATAATAACAAAAATTTCAATGTAAAACCTTTTAAAATTTTCTATCTAAAACTTTTTGAAATTTAATAATTTCAATTATAATTCATTGCGAAATTCAATTATTTTTAATAATTTTTATAATATTCTTCGAATCTTGAAAGTATTTTTCAAATAAAAAAATTTGAAATTTAATTTTTGTCTGTAATTTTTAATAAATTCTTCATCACCAAAAATTTCATTTAAAAATCACTCAATTAATTTCAAAAATCTGAATTCAATTATTTTGAAAAAAATGTTTTCTAAAATTATTTGATAAATTATTTTGTAATTCTGTGAAATTTAACAAAATCTTTTGAAATTTAATTATTTTTAAAAATTTCAACTATAACTCTTCCAAAGTTCAATTATTTTTAATAATTTTAATATTTATTTAAAAATTCAATTATTTAAAAAAATTTTTCAAATAGAAACTCTAAAATTGAATTGTTGTGAGAATTTTTTTTTTTTAATTTGTCTCATATAATTAAAATATAAAAAATTTACGTCTTCTATTCTAAAAATATTAGATTCGAATTATTTAAGGTAAAATACTTATTAACTAATTAAATTTAATTAAAATAAAAAAATCGACTTTTTTATGCCTTAAGGTCGATCCAAGGTCTCTGTATAAAAAATATATATTATTTTATTATTATTATTATTAAATATTACTGTAAATATCGTTTATACTTGAAAAATTGTAAATTTTTTTTCTCATTTAGGTTTCGGTGACTCAATAGAGGAAGCGAAAACAGCTGCGGCCATGAACGCTCTGAGTCAAATGTTTGGTTTAACAGATTCGAGTCAACCAATCAGATGTAATTTGCAAATTAGTGAAACAGTGGAAAGTGTACCGTTAAAAAAGTGGCGTCGATCAAATTCCTAAAAATTACTATTTCCATATTGAAAAAAAAAAAATAATTTTTTTTTTCCTTTTTTAACTATGTATTAAAATAATTATACAATGGAAATAAAGAAAAAAAGAAAAATTAAAAACATTCATTTTTTTTTTATAGTAGTAAAAACATTTCTTTTATTTCTCAGAACATAAGATCACTTATTATTTATATATTAACGCATATAAATAATTTACGCTTAAAGTAAAAAATCGCTGCTAACTTTTTTTTTATATATTTATATATATCTTTTCTTTCATCTTTTTTTTTTTTTTTCATTTCTTCAAAATTTAAATTAGCAGCATTATCACACGTTAAAAATCTCCTTTTTTTTCAAATTCAGAGTAGAAAAGTCTGTAGGAAAATATATAATAATCTTTTTTTTGTAGCAAAGAGCTTTACTTCCTCCTTTTTTTTTACTATTTACTTAATAATTATTATTAGCCCTTGAATATTTATCATTTTTTTTTTTCTTTTTTAAATCAACTTTATAGATAAGCGAAAAAGCTGAATTTTTCAAATTTTTGAAAACAAAAAAGAAAGAAAAAGAAACATTAAAAACAAATACTATGAAACTTATTAAAAGTTTCTACATTTTTGTTATCTCTTTTTTTTCTCTCTTTCTCTCTAACTATTTTACTCTTTAATGACATAATGGAATTATCGATGATAAAGAAACTGAAAGTTTTATTGGAATTTTAAATTTGTGGAAAAAGTTTGTACTTGAGATGTCTAATATTTTTTTGGTTTTTTAATTATCAATTAAAACGCAACGCACGTTATTTAATCAGAGACGAAGTTTTCTTCTGATTCCAGGTGTTGATCTGTTTCTGAAAAATAATAAAATTCAATATTTTAACGAATAGATTGATAAAAGATTTTTAAAATTTATATAAATACAATGTTTTTTTTTCAATCAATCATTCCGAATTTATTATTATAATTATAATGAATATTATATTTAAATAAATAAAAGAAAAATTTGTGAAGAAAGTATCAACATATTTTTAAAGTTAGTTATTAATAAAATAATTATTTTATTACCCCGTGGGATTATTTCTCATAATCATTTGCATCTCGTGTTTCCAACGATAAATATTTGGATAATCATATGGCGTGACTGTCGATGGAACTGCATTAAAAACTGCATAATCAGTTTTGGTAGGTGCATTACTAAAAAAAAAAAAAGTATTATTACAGAATTGATACAAAAATATTATTTTATTTTTCTCTGATTTCCAGTCAAAATTAAAATTTTTTCTCTAACCCTAATGAAAATATTTCACGAGGTTTTTAATAATAGGCCTCGGACTTTTTTTTTATTTTTTAAAATTGAATTATTAAAAAAATATATTAACTTGAATTGTTTGCAAAATCAATTATTTTCAATAATTTAAAACAAATTCTTCGAAAATTACACGATTTAAAAACAGTTTTCAATATTGAAAATTCACTTAAATTTTTTATCTATTTTTTTTCTATTTCCATCTATTTTCTATTTTCTAAATTGTTGAATAATTTAATTTTAATAATTTTAATCAAAATTTTCGAAAATTCAATTACATAAAACGTTTTTTCATTATTAAATCTTTAATATTAAATTTTTATTAACATAATTTTTAAAAAATGTCAATATTTCAAGTTTATTAAAATTTTAATTGATAATTTCAAAAATTAAATATTTCAAAACATTTTTCAATTGAAAATTCTCTATAATTTAATTATTTCTAAAAATTTTTTTTTAAATTCTTCGCTAAATTAATTTCTGTAATTACTTTAATACGATTTTTCAAGAATTCAGGGAAATAAAAAATTTTTTAATTAAATAATACTCTAAAATTCTATTATTCTTTAAAGTTTGGTAAAAAAAAAAAATTTTATCAATTAAAATTTATGAAAGTTTCAATTTAAAATCTTCGGAAATTTAATAACTTCAAAAAAAAAAATTTTAACTCAAACTCTTCCAAATTCAATTGGAAATTGAATAATTAATTGAATGTTAATTCAATTGAAAATTTTTTTCCTAAATTTTTAACAATTTTATTTATTTTTTTTTGTTTGTTTAATTAACTATTTCAACAGTTTTTAATTCAATTTTTCAAAAATTAAATTTTTTAAATCTCAAAAATAAATCTCAAAAAATGCAATTATTTCTAAAAGTTTTAACTGTAACTCCATCAAAATTCAATTATTTAAAACATATTTCAGTTGAAAATTCTCTGAAATTCAATTATTGCTTGAATTTTGTAAAACAAAAATGTTATTAATTCAAAATTAAATTCAATTGAAAATTAAAAATTTAAATTGAAAATTAAATTAATTAAATTTAATTTAAAAATTTAAATTGAAAATCTTCGGAAATTCAATTGTTTCTAAACATTTTAAAACAAACTCTTCCAAATTCAATTACTTTTAAAATTTTAATTAAAAATCTTCTGAAATTCAATTATTTCACAAATTTTCATTTAAAATTAATTTTTTTTTCATTATTTTAATCAAATCAGACTTGAAAAATTTTCTTTTTTTTTATATATAATTTTAAATTATTTTTGAAAATTTGTTCTGAAACTGAATTGAAATCTTGAAAATTTGTCTCAATTTAATTCGGCGGTTTAAAAAGAAAAATTCTTGAAACTATTTCTGTGAAACATTCTTACTAAGGAATTAATAAATTTTATTTAATTTCTAATAAAAAATTGTTAATAATAAAAAAAAATATATCAACTAATTAAATTTATTGAAAATAAAAAAATTGTCTTTTTAGAATTTTCTTGTAAAGTAAATCGACTGAAATAATTTTTTTTCCTACAAAAGTCGAACCAAGGCCTAGAATTATAAAAATGTAATGTATAATAAAAAATTCTCTGATTTTTCCCTGAGCCGTGGCAAACCTGTATTATCATTATTTTCTTTCTAAACTAATTGAAAGTAAAAATATAAGTAAAAAAAAAAAACAAATGAAATTAACAATATTAAACATTATTATCAATTAATTAATTAGAAATAATGTACTCACCATTCAATGAATGTTGTCGTTCCTTCTTCCGCTAATTCCATTTTCTCATCCTCTGAACTATTGCAAGACATTGGCGATGAAGGTGGCGTATAAAAATCATCTTCTATAAAATTTAAAAATAAAAATTTTTGTTCAAAAAGCAAAATTATTTATTATATAAAAAGGAGGAAAATTTTTTTTTTCCCCTTCAAACTTACCCGTATTTTCTTCGTCTTCTTCATTGATATGCAAATTACAAGACTCGAACTTATTGCATAAATTAGTCAAATCATTTAAAGGATCGCCATTAACAGTTATTTTATTAGAATTTTGATTGAGTTCCTATAATAAATAATCTATTCATTAATTAAATAAAGCTTAATTTTCTCATAATTATATTTTATAATATTAATAACAACAATTTTTTATTATAATATAAATTTAAAAATAATATAATTAACATTTATTTATTTTATAAATAAATAATTAATTAATTTTTATAATTAAAATTCAGTTTATTACACGAAAAAAAAATTCTTATCTGGAATAGCGATATGTTTCTCTAGAATTGGAAAAACTTTCTCTGTTTCAGTAAAACATATCGCTGTTCCAGTGAAACTTATCGCTGTTTCAGTTAAAGATTTGTTTTCGTGTAAATTTTTCTCTATATTCACTGAAATATTAAAAAAAAAACTAAATTTCCAATAAAATTTTGTAAACCATTTTTTTTATTTTTTTTTTTTGTTTCTGAAAATGAAAATATTTTTTTATTTTCTCACATTTTCAATTGGTATGAAGTATCCTTTGAATCTTGCCTCCAAAAATTTTTCCAATTTCCATAAACCATCGGAGCATCCTAAATCAGCGAAACTATCTAAAAATGGCCAAAATTCCTTCCATGGAACATGATATTCTTCAGCTAAAACTCTAGAGGGTAAAAAATTAATAAATTCAATTCATTTTAATTGGCAATTATTTTTTGTCAATTTATTTTCAAGGATTGCCACAAGAATTTTTCACAAATTGCTCCAAAAAATTTTGCTCTCTCAAAAAAAAAAAAAAATGTTATTAAATTTAATGAATTATAATAGAAATATTAATTAATTTGAAATTAGAAAAAAAAAATTTCCCAAATTTCGCTGATAAAAAATTTTTTCCCCTTAACTTCTCTGACTTGTGGCCACCCTGATTTTTATTATTATTATTTTTTTTTTTTTGAAATTACCTTCCAACTCTTTCGAGTCCTTTTTGAGGATCTTGCAATCGTAGGGATAAATTTTGAATAGGAGTTCTAATAATTTCACGGGTATCCGTGAAGGAATCATTGAGCCTATTTTCACGCGTTGGAGTTAAATGAAGTTTCGTAGGAGTGAAATTAAGCCGCGTAGGCGTACCCTGATAACGTGGTGGTGTTTTCCATTTTCTACGAAATTCTATTGCTTGTGTTTTACTCATAGGTCCGGCAAAGGCATGGACTTCCATTTGAGGACTAATTGGATCAATTTTATATTTCTGCAATACTTCACATTCCTATTCACATAAAAAAATTCATTAAACTTTTTTAATTCAAATAATAATTTTCATTATTATTTTTCAATGTATAATAATAAAACTAATTTCAAATTTAATTTGAATAATTTGAAATAATTTCAGTGTGTCTAGCGCTTTTGTCAAATAAAATAATAATACCTAATAATATAAAATAAAAACAAAAAATAATTTAAAATTATTTTTAAAAAAATGTTCAAAATATGATTTATGCAAATTGTTCGAATTCAAAAGTTTAGAAAATATTTTAAATAATTAAATTTTCGAAGAACTTTATTAAAATATTATTGAAAAAAAAAAATTGATTGTAGTAAATTTTTTAGAAATAATCGAAATTTGAAAAAAGTTGCAGTTAAAATTTTTTAGAAGTAAATAAATTTTTGGAATCCTGTTTTCAATTTTCACATAAAATGTTGTAAATATCGAATTTAAAAATAACTAAAAATTAAAATTCAAGAAATTTTATAAGAGAATCTTTGTTCTTCTTTTTGCCAATTTAATTCTATAATTATTAAATTCATAAATTAAATTTTAATGTTTTTGTTTTAAAATATTGAAATATTTCTGAAATTAAAACTGTTTTTAAATTGAAATTTAAAGTTAAATTAAATTTAAAAATTTTAATGTAATACAATATTCAAAATAAAGGGTAAAACAAATTAATTTTCTAAATCATAATTTAATGTCAACTTACACGAGGACTCGTTGGCGAGAAAGGTTCACCAATTGTCGGTTGCAATGTATCATCTTTAGATCTGAGAACGGGAACGTAAAATTGATCCTCCAATAAAGAACGAATTTGTCTTTTTAATTCTTCGTCGTCACTATTTTTTCTTGCACAAATAATCTACAGTAAAAAATTAAAGAGAAAACATTTAAATTTCAATGTAATAATAATTTCAAAAAAAAAAAAAAAAACTCTCTATATCATTTATATAGACTGCATATTTTTCATTATTTTCAGATTCTTGTAAAAATTTATTATTAAAAATTAAGTTTTTTTTTTCTTTAATTAAAATTATTTAATAAAATAGAAATTAATTTTTTAAGTGTTAAATAATTATTTTTAAATATATAATTTACATATTACTAAAATTAGAAAAGTAATAAATAATTTTAATAATTAAGATAATAATAAGCGAAAAAAATATTCATTATAAACGGGAATAATAATAATAATAATAATAATTAGAAGAAAGAATAAATTACCTCCAAAGGTTTTTGTCTATATTTGTTCAATACATTTTTAACGCATTGAGAATAAGAGACAAGCACTTTAACGGCTTCTTTTTGTCCAAATTTCACAGCAAAATGAAGTGGAGTCTCATTGAGTCCTTTATCTGGTGTATTTAAATAAAGATCAAGTAAAATTTGTGCCCTTAATAAATCAATTTCGCCATAGAGTAATTTTACGAAATTAGGATTATTAATTGTGCTCAATAAGAGTTCGCACATTAAACCTGAATGTGCAGATTTCGTTGCAATGTGTAATGCATTATATCGAGAACCTTCCTGATAAAGTAGAAAAAAAAAACAAAAATATTTTCATATATTATTAATAAAATCATCATTAAAATATACCACGTGTAAAATCGTGTAAAATAATTAAATTTTTTTAAATTTCTAACATAAACAAAATTTTCAAAAATTTCAAGAAAATAGCAAAAAAAATTTTTTTTAAATGTTTTAATATAAGAAAATAATAACTTTTTTTAAAAAAGTATTTTAATAAAATTTCCAATTTTACAATTTTTTTTCTCCTATTGGTAATAAATAATTTATTTAATAATTAACAAAATAAAAAAATCAGGCTTCCGGATCGACTTTCAGGAGCAAAAAAAAGGAGTTTTAGTCAATTTTTTTTTATTTCAATTAAATTCTTTTTATTAGGTAATTAATTATTAATTTCATATTAATAATTATTAATTAATTGCATAGTAAGAATAATTGTTTAGAAGTATTATCAAGAAAATTTATTTTGAATATTTCAAAATTGAAATGTTGTAAAACAAAATTAAAAAAAAATTTAATTATAACAAATTTCTCAAATAATTCTTAAAGGTCCATTTTTTCAAATTTTTTTTTAATGTCTGATGTAACCAATTTATTTGAATTTAAAATTTTAACATAGTTTTTAATTTAAATGGTCAAAAAAATTTCGGAAAATAATTATATAAGTTTTACAGATTTTTGAATTAAATTTTTTTTTTAAATAATTGAATTGAATTTTAAATTTTGAAATAAATTTTCTGCAAATTTAAACTGTTGTATTGTTTTTTTTTCCTTAAATTTCTGACAACAATTCAATTTTAGAAATTTTATTTAAAACTTTGTTAAATAATTAAATTTTCAAAGAAACTTTAAAATTATTGAAAATAAATGAATTTTGAAAGAGTTACAAGTGAAATTTTTTGGAAATAAATTAATTTCTAAAGATTTGTTTAAATTTCAGACAATAATTAAATTAAACAGAATTGAAAATAATTTATTAAATAATTTTAGATAATCTTTCTAAAAAATTAATTGAATTTTCAAAAATTTACAATTCAGATTTTTGAAAATAATTAAACTTTAAGTGTTTTTTAATTGAAAATTTTTTGTGATTTTTGTTAATGTAAAATTTAACAGAAATTAACAGAAAAAAATTGAATTCCAAAAATTTTTAATTTAAAAATGCGTTCAAATAATTGAATTTTTGAAGAATATTATAAAAATCGTTAAAAATAATTGAATCAAGAGTTATTGTTGAAATTATTAAATTTCAGAAAGTTTTAGATGAAAATTTTTGGTATTTTATTTGCTGATTTTTAAAAAAAAATTTAATCAATCATTAAATTTTATAAAATTTTTGATTGGAAAATAGTTTAAGATAATTGAATTTGTGAAAAATTTAATTAAAATTTCTGAAAATATTTCATTTAAAGAACAATTTTTGTTAAAATTTTGTTATATAATTGAAATAAAAAAAGAATTATTTCGTTTAAAAATTGTGTAAAAAATATAAAAAAAAGTCGTATTATCAAAAAAAAAATCGTATAATCCGAGGCCTTGAAAACTATAATGTTTTTTAAAAAATAATTTCAAATTTTTTTTGTTTTGTTAGAATAAGAAAAATTTGTTTAATTAGAAAATTAATTATTTTTCTTTTTAAATATAATATATAATTTTCTTATTTAAATTAGAAAAAAAAACAAAAATTTGTGTAATTTACATGTAAAATTGCAGGAGTATCACCACTGCTAACTAAATATCGTGGATTTTCCCAAATTACAGATTTCACAGCATCCAAATCACCAGCCTCTATTAATTTGCGAAATCGCACTAAATCTTGAGGTTTTGGACCTTTAAAATTACTGTATTTCTCTTCACCAACAACATTTTCTGTGCTGATTGTTGTAACATTGGCATCATTTGTTGATCCACCATTTCGTGAAAAATTTTCAGCATCCAAACGATTTTTAAAGAATTTTAATCTCGCATTCTTGTGACTTTTTATTAATTTTAAAGCATCACTTTTTTCTGTAAAAACGCGAACTTCTTCTTCTGAAATTAAATTTAATATTCATTAAATAATTAACAAAATTAATTCTAAACAGATCGGATGAAGAAAGAAATATAATCATAAAAATTAAATTTTTGAGGAATCTTATATATCTTATATTATAAACAATAGAGAAAAATTGTTTTCATTTTAAAAAATGGTTCTAAGAATGACTAAAATTTGTAGAACGATTAATTTTAGAAAGAAAAAATTTTTTTTTTGTGAAAAAAAGGCCTTTAATGTTTATTTAACGGTGTTCCGTAATGGCAAGCAGTGATTGTCTTTTAAAAATGAGGTACATTTAACTTCGAAAATATAATTCTCCCATTTCGGACAGAAATGTCAAAATCGGAAAAAATGCCAGTTATTCTGAGTTTGTGTACTTTCATTTGCCTCAAAGAAATTAAAAATTTATTCACATATAAAACGACAGGAAGTAAAAAAGGAAGAGTAGGGTAACGGGTACAGTGACCGATACCCTGGGCATAATTTCAACTTTAAATGACATTTTATCAGAATTTATTAAAGATTTAGTTATAAAATAAATTTCAAATAAAAGATTTAGGTTAAAATTTATAGTACATAAGTTTAAAATTAAAAAATTCTTTGATAAGAATTTATAATATTAATTTAAAAATATATGGTATGAAAACAAAGAAACGATACCCTTTAATAAAATGAAAAATATTTAAACTACTATTTAAATAAAATGATATTTATTAATATTATCACAAATTTTATTATTCAGATTTAATGTACAAAAAAAGTTGCTTTTAAAATATAATTATTTAACAATTTCTTCATATTTATAAAATTTGTAATCAATAAAGAAAATTTTTTGAGGTTAGTTTTCTAGAAAGTAAAATATTGAGTAAAATATAAACATATAAAATTTTGTGTCATTTGTATCAGTTTCTAAATAGCGTATATTAATTAATTTACTAGTGATATTTAATTCAATATTATTATTTCTATAGTTATTATCGTTTTTAATAGCATGTGTCGATCACTGTCAGGGTGTCGTACACTGAAAATTTGCGTAGTACTGAAATTTACCGTCTGGGGCAGCACCTGACGGCTACAAAAAAATTTTAAGGCCAGGTCCAAGTCGATGCGATTTTTCCACGGAAAATCTATGTAAAAATTGGAGGCGCATGATTTTTCCCAAAAATTAAAAAGTTCGAAATTTTAATTCATCGAATTACATTAAGTCGATATTTTATTTGATCGATAATAAAAGTGGCCGATATTTTATTTAGTCAATATTTTATTTTATCGAAATTCTAAATGATAGACATTTATGAAGGTCGACATTTTATTCAGTCGATTTTTTATTTGGCCGAAATTCTAAATGATCGACATTTAAAGTGGTCGAAATTTTATTAGTTAGATATTTTGTTTGGTAAATATTCTAAATGAACGACATTTAAAGTGGTCGATATTTTATTTGTTCAATATTCTAAATGATAGAAATTTAGAAGCATCGAATTTTATATCCATCGAAATTTAATTTGGTCGATATTTAAAAAGCTCAACATTTTTTTAGCTATACGAATTTCCTTTCTATGTAGTTTGTCGGTAAAGTACATTGAAATTTTGCGGGAAATTTGAAATTATTGTTGTAAATAATAATAACAACATAGAGAGGAAACTCGTATAGCTAAAAAAATGTTGAGCTTTTAAAATATCGACCAAATTAAATTTCGATGGATATAAAATTCGATGTTTCTAAATAAGGCAGCACCACCTATATCGAAACTAAAATTTTGGAAAATTATTTACAGTATTTACTTGAAAGGAAGACATAAAAATACTTTTTCCTTTAGGATAATTGATTATTGTCAAGAAATATTCCAGCTAAAACTTTTTTTGAGTTGAAAAAATGAAAAAAAATTAATGACGATAAATTAAATATGAGCATATTTTTTTACAAAAACTTTTAAAATATTTTCTCGGAAATAACAAAAAAAAATGCAATTTTCATTTGGAGAATTAATAAACACTAAAAAATATACCAATATTATATAAATATTCACCAATCACAAAAATAACAACAAAAACTTTTTTTTAACATAACACATCAACACTATTTTACTGATTTTGACAGCCATTTGGTAGATAATAAATGTCACAAGTTATTTCGTGATTCTTAAAAGTTTTCGTAAAAAAATATGCTCATATTTAATTTATCGTCATTAATTTTTTTTCATTATTTTAACTCAAAAAAAGTTTTAGCTGGTTGATTTCTTGACAATAATCAATTATCCTAAAGGAAAAATTAATTTATTGTCTTGCTTTCAAGTAAATACTGTAAATAATTTTCCAAAATTTTAGTTTCGATATAGGTGGTGCTGCCTTACTAGGACCTACCCTTAAACAGTCGGATTAGGTCCCGCGTATCACATTTTAATAAGTTAGTAAAGAAAAGAAAAAATTAAAAAAAAACTTTTTAAATAAACATAATGTTATCAAAGACAATGAAAATTTACTAGCAAAAGTTACAAAAAAAATTAAAAATTTCAAAATTTTTTGAGTGTATTCAAATATCCACAATTATGTATCGAGATTTTAATCTAATTGATATTATTGGTAAGTTTCATGCGAATCGGTCAAGAATTATAGGCTGCAGGTGTGTCTAATTATCAAAAAATTCAATTTTTTTTTCAAAAAAAAATTAAAAATTTCAAAATTTTTTGATTATACTCAGATTTATTTGATTATATATCGAGTTTTTAACATAATTGATATTTTTGGTAAGTTTTATGCGAATCGGTAAAGAATTATGAGCTACACGTCTACCTAAAAATCAAGCAAAAAAAAAATTAAAAATTTTTTGACTGTTTTGAAATTTCCTGTAATGTATATCGAGATTATAACCTAATTAATATTATTTATAAGTTTCATGCGAATCCGTTAAACTGTATAGGCTCCAGTCGTGGCTAAAAATCAAAAAATCATAAATTTTTCAGTTTTTTGAGCCTAATTTTTATATTTTTTTGCCATTCCTCCCATTTTCACAACAAAAATTATTTTTTTTTTCATTTTTTACCCGGCAAAAAAGGTTTGAACAAAATCGTTAAAGAACTTTTCGAGATATTCAATTATTTTAGTCGAAAAATGCCAATATTTTGAGAAAATTTATTAGCGGAATTTTTTTTTTTACCTTGCGTCTATTCTCTACCGTAAATTTTGATATTTCATTTTTCACAACTGAGTAATTAATTTGTTTAAATAATTTTCCTCAAGAAATAATTCTCTTACATTCAATAAAAAAAAAATGGTTAATATTTTCTAAATTATTTTTCATTTTACTTTTTTCTTGTTAAAAAATTTGAATTTGCTTCATTAATTTAAAAGAAAATTAAATATATTAACCAAACTTTAATATCAATAAAATTATATTTATATAAAATTAAACCGTTTTTTTTAATAAATAAGATTATAATTACGATAATGTAATAAAAAATTCAATACTTGCATTCAAGGGCATTCCTTAATAACAATATATACATATATCGATAAATAAAAGGAAAAATGAAATATAAAAATAAAAAATTATAAAAAATAATTGCGATAAAAAATATACTAACTTGCATCGCCTTTTTCGTTGTCGCCAGGAATAAAAACAGCGTAAAAAATAGTGTTATTTGAATTGAGGTTAGATTCTCCTGAGCGCAAATTATACGCTGGAGAATTTTCTTTATTCTCACTCATACCCGAATTTAATCGTAAAACTTGTTGAAAATAATCAACAAAACTTGTGATCACGCTTTGTGACATATGTCACGGGCTAAAGTACCCGCATATATATTTTATATTTATATATATATAAAAAAAAGGAAGACAAAATTATTTGCAAAATATTTATACGTGTGTGTTATTAAAGTGAATATTTTTCAAAACTGTCAAGTTTGACACATGAAGCAACACAGTGGTTGCCAGTCGCAGCAAGATTTGTTAGTTGCATATTTTGGTCGTAAGGTTTGATGTATTTAAAGTAGAAGATCTAAAATATGAACATGAAAATAAACATGAAAGAACATTGAAAATGTGAACCATGATCAGATATAGGTATGTGGTAAACTAAAAATTGTGGAGAGGGCCTTAATCAGTAACTGGTGGTGGTGGGGGCATTGAACTCAAGTTTTGTATTAAAACCGTTAAAACTATATATTTAATTTCAAGTTATTTATATAGTAATACTCGTAAATATGTTTTAAAGATTTTAAATATTATTCAATTAAAATAGAATTTAGGTTATATGTTTATAATTTTCTTCATATAAAACATCAATATAAGAAACTACATGATACTAACATAACCTCAAAATACTTCGAAATGTGTTTGAATCCTCTTTCAGAATCAGAAATTATCAAGAGTTTCTTTAAGATTCTATCAAATAAGTTTGATAGAAAAGCTATCCAGAACAATACTTTGAATCAAAAAATTGTCTCTTGTTTGTTCCATTAATTATACAAAGAAAGTTCTAACAAAGTGAATTATTAAAATTAATATCCAACAATGTGATGTAATTAAATTAAATTAAATTTTTGAATAAAAATTTAAAAAAAACAATAAATTCGAAGTTTTATGAGTAAGTTACTATTATTAGTGTAAATTTAAGGTGGTTTAAACAGAGATAATACATAGTTGCTTATTTTTTTCTCAAAATAAAGTAATTTTGCCCTGCATTTTACCCATTTTTCATACGTTTTTGTATTTTTTTTTTTTTTAAAAAAAAGAGGTATAACTTTTTTGTTTTAATCGCTATTAAAAATTGTAAAAGAAAAAAAGTGTTTATTTTTACTCGTATTTTTCGAAAAAAAATTGAAAAATTTTATTTTTTTGAAAAATGCGAATTTTTGAAATTTAAAAAAAAATTAGAATAATTTTGTTAATTTTTGACAAAATCATCGGTCAAACGAACTCAGGCGAGATTTTGGTACACTTAACACAGTGGTCAGGAAGACGAAAAAAGTTTGCGTACGATAATAACGACGAAATCGAAACATGTAGAGTAATACTTTAGATGTACAGAAAACCGAAAATCACAGAAACAAAATCAGAGCGGTTCATGTGCATAAAATATTTACAATTTTGTCATTTTTATAGGTAATTTTTATATTTATCGCATATTATTGAAAGCTTAACAAATACATTATGATAAAACAATGTAAATTTACTTATGGTATTCAATGCATTATATTTTTGTTCAGAAAAATTACATTCATTTGTTTTATAACCTGATAAGTTTGTTTAGTTTACGATTAGTCACGAATCCTATAATGTTATTCTATCGCAGTTTGCATTCAAGATTTAATTTCGGTATTAATATTGTTTTTTATGTAAATAGAAGTGAATTTTATACATGTCATATTTTGAGTGCATAAAATGTATCCATCTTTGTAACAAATTTTCAAGAGTGACAAATATAAGTGTACAATGCTTTTGCAATTTAAAAACAACTTTAAAAAACTAATTTCAATTGAGGATCAAGTTTTCAAAAGTTGATAAATCCATATTTTGTTTTTTTGAGAAATTTAAAAAATGGCATTTTTCACATAACCAACCATTTTATGCACATGAACTGCTCTGATTTTGTTTCTGTGATTTTCAGTTTTCTGTACATCTAAAGTATTACTCTACATGCTTCGATTTCGTCGTTATCGTACGCAACCTTTTTTCGTCTTCCTGACCACTTTAATTAAAGTGTATACCAAATTTGAAGTCGATTCATTAAAATTTGTTTGAGTTATCGTCGGACCAAATTTTATCTACAGACATACATACAGACAGACATTTTTTAAGACCCATTTTTTCGGCATAAGAAAGTCTCAAAACGTCGAGATTCACTGGAATTAGAGAATGCTCAAAATCGCCCAAATGTAATACCTTCTCATTATGATGAGAATGTAAAAATAGGAAAGTAATATATAATAACAACTGCGACTTTATGCATGCTTCTTCCATCTGACGGCGATCGGACATAATGAACCAGTCATTTTATAGAGCGATAATAATAATTATTATTGAGGGGGGGCGGATGAATAAGCTCTAAAACAAATTTGTTAGAAGTTCCATTGGATAGAATTTTAATCAGCAGAATATTAATTTGCCAAAAAGTCAATTTGATTGAATTTTAATTGGTCAGAAAATCAATTTTATCGAATTTTAATTTGATAGAAATTCAATTAATCACGTTTCAGAAATTCTTACTCAAGAAAGTTCATTATTTTGTTCGAATATTAATTTGCCAGAAATTCAATTTCACTGCTGAAAATCAATTTGACCGAAATATTTCGTCGCAAATTTTAAAATTAACCAATCCCAATTTACTTCATAATTTCCTATTGGTCAATTTTAAAATTCGCGCCGAAATATTTCGGTCAAATATATTTTCGGTGAAATTGAGTTTCTGGCAAATTAAAATTCGACCAAATTGAATTTCTGTCAAATTGATTTTCTGCCTAATTAAAATTCAATCAAATTGTCTTTTTGGCAAATTAATATTCTGCTGATTAAAATTCTATCAAATGTTACTTCTAACAAATTTGTTTTAGAGCTTATTCATGCGTCCCATTAAAGGTCTCTCTTTGCTAAAGAATTTCAGAGACTGTTCAGCACTATTAATATTAATTATTAATTAGCCGTAAAATTAATAAAAATTATTAAATTTTATATTTCTTTTTCAAAGAAAATTAAATTCAAGATCAAATTTTACTATCTAAATTATTCCTATTCTTTATTATTAAATTTTCACAGTTGTCAAACTAACCTGTTTTTCATGAAATTCAACTTAAAAAACTAAATTCTATCGTGATTCTACCATAAATAACTAAAAATATAGACCACTAACAACTTCAGGTGGAATATATAATGGAAATGACCTTTAATGTAAAAATATTATTTCATTTAATAATATTTAAATATCCACCTTCAAAGAAGATTCACAGGAACCTCAAGGGACGCTTCCCTATGAAGATTCCACACTGAAACAATTATTGTGAGACTATTACTGGCTTATTTCATGCCAACAACCAGAGCTTTCTGCCTCAGGGTGCAGTTATATGTTGATGTAATAGCAGAATGCAAAACTAAAAATAATGAGAGTGAAAAGGATACTGATATATCCCTGTCCTTTTCACTCTCATTATTTTCGGTTTTGCATTCTGCATTTACATCAACATGTAAATCCAACCTCAGGGTCCGCTATTCACTTTTTCTGAACAAAAAGCGAATCCTAAGACAGAAAGCTCTGGTTGTTGGCATGAAATAAGCCAGCAATAGTCTCAACATAATTTTTTCAATGTGGAATCTCAGGGAAGCGTCCCTTGAGGTTCCTGTGAAGCTTCTTTGAAGGTGGATATTTAAGGGCTCTGGAAAATTTCCTGTGAGCTTCTATTTGAATATCCACGATCTTCACAAAAACATTCTAGGAAGCATTGGATAGAAAAAAAATTTTTTTTTGTGATCGATTGATTATTTTTTTTTAAATTTACGATTTTTGGCTTATTACTGTTTTTCTTATTCAACAATGAGACGAAGTTATGAAGTTAAGTTTTTACGTTAATTAACATAATCCGATGCTGTGAGATTTATAATTTTTTTTATTATATTCTCTATTTTATTGGGTGGTGAAGAAAATTGAGCTATTCTTTGTGAATTTGTTTTTTCTCTTCTTTTTAATGTCTTTCATAATTAGCTCAAGAAAATATACATACATTCATTAATAATAATCTGGAAAATCTATTATTTTATCACGCGGTACGCTGCTACTTTCTTTGCTGCCGAACTCAACATTTTTCCCATTGACTGTGGAGTCATTTCCAAAAGAAACTCCATAATCTCAACCACTATTGGATGACGATTATATATATTTAACAATTCAATCACATCATCATGATTAAATAGACGCATATTTATTATAGAATTTGTAATGTCATTAATAAATTTATATATTACTAAATAGTTAAACCGTGTCTCACAACCATTCTTAGAACGATATCCAGACATTTTTAATATTTTTTTAAGCATTCGTCTAATTGTAACTGTATATGACAAATTGCTTACCTTTGATTGAGGTAAATGCAATAACATTGAATGACTAGTAAACCAAATTGATAGAAAACTCGTTAATGAAATATTAACCGAGTCGAGTACACGTTTGTGCATTAGAATAAATTGTCTATCATCACGTGTCAATAGAGCCAATATTCGCCAACCATTGGAATTAAATGTAACATTATCATCATCATCTTTCGTTAAAAATTCATCATCATCATCATTATTTGTAATTTGCTGTTCGCTTAAATATTTTTCCATACTTAAAATATATTTCTTTACACAATTACGATCAATCGTTAACAAATGTTGATACCAATGATGTAATGAATCTAAATTATGAACATGACCAAGTTTACGATTAATAAAAATGCGCATAAATTCGTCAGCCTCCTCAATAAGGGCTTCATGAACAGATATCAATACCATATTTGCAATAACGTCGACTATAGAAATATGATTCAATTCTAATTCTGTGCATTCTATTCTAATTGCTGGATAGCCCATTAATAGGGGTAAATGAAAAAGAACTGTTACAGCTGCAGCATAAATAATATAAGGTTTTCGCATTAATGTAACGAGACGTTGTAACATCATTGATATATGTTGTAATCCATGAAGATCCATTATGTTTGCGTCTTGTCGTAATATTTGACGTAAATGTATCATAATTTTACACACTTCATCACGTTTTGCATTGTAATCAAAAAATATCAATGAATAGGCTTCATTGAAATCTGATAGATAATCGGCACATGTAAGTTTACAACTATTAATTAATCTTGTAATTTTAGTCAAGACATTCTCAAATTTTGTTCCTTCAATATGTGGCATTAACATTTTTTCTATTAACAAATTAAATTCTTCTGATGAAATACACCAAGAAT